AATGCAATGAAATTAATGTTAAAAATATTTTTGAAAATTCCTATCTTTTTTCAAAAAGTAGCCTAAGAATTTGCAACAAAGCCATACTTTTTAATTCTGTCTGGATGATAGTGAACTCTTAAAATAATACTTAAAAAAGTTAAAGAAATTGCTAAATAAAAATTAAGTTAATTAAAAGTATTAAATTCAAGTCCTTTGAAAGAGAAATAAATTAAACATTTCTAAATATGTTTTAATTTTAATAAATCGTCAAGATATAATCTGCTTCGAAGTGAACCCAAAGCAAAAATTACTGAGAAATTAACTTTATGAAAAAAAAATTCTCCAGTAAGAATAACTACTGGGTAAATCAAAAACGATTGACGATGTTGTGGATGATGACTCTCCACACCGAGGATTTAGTGATTGGGTCCCATAAAAACCTCAGTCGCCCTTTAAAAGGGGGAGTATGTAAGGTATTTCTCCCGCCTTCCTAGCGTGCTATCATGGTGTGGTGGTCTGCACACTGGGCCGGGATTCCAGAGGTCCGTGGTTCGATTCCCGGCGAAGGCGTTGCTCACTTTTCATTTCTCCTGCTTCAAAAAATACCTAATGTCTCTACAAGTGGCGCCCGAACTGCAAAGGGTGGTGGATGATGATTCTCCACACTCGGGATTTGGATCCCCTAAAAACCCTAGTCGCCCTTTAAAAGGGGGAGTATATAAGGTATATCTCCCGCCTTCCTAGCATGTCTTCGTAGTGTACTGCTCTGCACGCTGGGCGCGTATTTCAGAGGTACGTGTCTGGATTCCAGGTGAGAGCGTTGCTCATTTTTCATCACTCCAGCTTTAAAAAATAACCTAATGACTCTACAACGGCTCAGAAAATTTTCCAATTCGAGGAGAACGGAAATTATTCAGATATAATTCAGAAACGTGGCTTTGTTGATAATCCTTTGGATATTTCTCAAAAAAGAACAAGAAATGTTCACCAACATTTTTATATTAATTTTATTATTTTATTTTACTGTATAGTTTTTTATTTCAGATTCGATGTGGGTGCTTCCGGTTAGACTCTTAATACATTTCTTGATTAACTTTATCTCTTGATTATTTAATCAAATTCGCAGCATAGTGCGCAACTTAAAAAAAAATTAATACTGTAATTTGAAATTTCTAAACTCATATATAGAGAGAGAATTAATATAAATACAGGTCTCATATCAAAAGCGTCTGCAGAACATGTTTTCGATTTTTTGCTTCATCTTACGTTTGTACACTGCGCAAAAAAAAAAAAAAAAAAAAAAAAAAGATACAGTTCTGTATCAGCCGTTCTAGTGAGCTGATTGACAAAATTCAACTTGCATTTTTCATGTCTCGAAAGGGCGACTTAGGATATGTATTCGATTTATATATAGCATTGTTCTAATATAGGTATTTTGACACAAAATTTGACTTTTACTGAAATGACCCGCCTATATTTTTTCGATTCTACGACTCAAATTATGCCAAACTACCAAGATTTGTAAAAATCGCAGTTTTTATAAAATTTGCTCTGAAAATTTTAGCACCTTAATGTTAATTGAATTCGATATGACTACGTTACTCAAAATTAATGATTGCGTTATATAAAAGCAGTACGAAAGACAAATGCTATGTATAAACTATAAGTTTTGCATTTTATAATGTATGTATCAATTATAAAACTGAACTAACATGGGTCTTCATTTTCACAATATTTCCGTAAATTCCTCAATTAACACACAATCTCCTGATGGCTCTAGGTACCGTTGTTTCTTCACGATGCGAGAAACATTCATGCACTCACGCAGATTCTTTATTACGAGTATATCCCTACATCCATAGCAAATTTCATTCAAATCTGCTCTAGTCGACAAATGTGAAAATTTTCTTAGTTATAAACATCAGTGTATACTTCAAATAATTTAATTCCTTATTTTACATAAACAATTAGGCAGTATATGATTCTGAAATAGTTTATCTTTTAAACTGACAAGAAACATAGAACCTAAAAGATAAAAAAATAACTAAAAATTAAAAAATTACTACTACTACTAATAATAATAATGTTTTCAGCTCAAAGGGTGTTAGCCCAGAAGGCTATTGATTTCAAAACGGCATTTTGAGCCGATTCACTTTCCAAACTGTTGGCACCAAATATTCTAGACATGTATTATATTTAAAGAAACTAAATACGTACAAAAGAATGTACCTTACAACAGTCATGGTTCACAAGCATGATCTTGCGTAAGGCTGGTCGGCGAGGAAGGTTTAAGGCATAGGTCGCAAAATCGAATAAAAGAAAGCTCATAAGAGGTTTGGTTTCATTTCAGAGTCATATAGCTCTTAAATGAGACAACATCTCTTATGATGGAAGGAAACTGAGGACAATGGAAGGAATCTTTTCACAGGAAAAGAAGCAATTTATCAATCCTTATGGTAAGCGTTCCAGGAATGCTATAGGTCTGGAAACCTAGAAAGGCCTGGCTGGCCGATCCCTCCAATCAATATTCTCTTTCCAAAAACTCATCCACTGAAAAGACCTGCTGTTAACATGGTACAGAGAACCTCTAATTTGAGCCAAAAAGCAATCCGTAAATTTTCCGTTCATAGATGAATCCCGATTCCACTTAACCATGATTTTCATCTGCACAGAACCAGAGAACATCTACTTGTCACTGAGCTTTCGAGGAAGAAATTAATAGGTTTAATGATTCGGTCTGGAATCACAGAACGTGCCCACAAAACTTCATGTCCTTGGTAAAGAGTATGTAACTGCTGCAAAGGGAAGGAATCTTAAGGCTCTATATTTGGCTTTCCAGGGTTCTACTTAGTCTTTTTATTGACAATAGCCCTCGTCCATATGTGGCTGATCTAGTGTATAGTGAGGGTATTAACAGGATAGATCGGTCAACCAGAGATCTCTATCTCTTAGAACATACTTGTGTCAATCTTGGAAAGTCAATTGCGATTCGTCTACTACCTCTCAGAACCTTCCAGAACCTAAAAGCAACGTTACTACAGGATTAGAAACGACAACCACAGAAAGTCATAATCTGCTTCATTTCCATTGTGAAATCGTGATATAAGAGCGGTATGACTATTAGACGGGACCACATCTCTTTTCTGTGTGGTCTTGAAAAACTTTGTTTTAGACTTTTCTCCACTGAAGGAGCCTTACGCAAGATCAAGCTTGCCTCTATGACTGTTGTATGGTATGCAGTTTTATTTATTACATCAGTCTACGTGCGTACCAAATTTCATTAAAATAAGTTTAGCATTTATGGAAACAATCAAAACATGCGAAACTTCTCTCAATTTTGAGCATCAGTGCATTTCATAACGTTATATACCTAATTAAATATTTATTATAAGCGTTTATATCATTCACCCTAATAACCAATAACTGACCCAGTATCAAACACCCAGTCATATTTAATCATAGTACTACTAACAAAAAGCTCTTTTAAGTCATACTTTGAAAATAACTGGTTGCTTAGATGCAAATATATTAGCTTTTTTATGCATTTACCATAGATAAATTCAATACAACTCATAAGCTGGTATTTTTAATGTTTTAAAAATTCTATGCTGGAATGTAAATTAGTAAATAAATAGTTTAAAAATAAATTCTTAAGATAAGTTATAACAGTCTTATTTAGTTACAGAATTTATTATTTTCACAGTCATATTTGTTCTAATAGTTTATATTTTATATTAAAAAAATCTGATGTGTACACCACATGACTTCCTTGTACGGAATATTAAATGATGCGCATTTTTTTCCCCATTTCGTTTAAACTTATTGGATTGAATTAAATCTACTTCGCCGACAGCGCATAAACCACAATAGAATAAATGCATACTTTAAAATTCACTCTATATTTGTTTACCGTAGAGACACTCTGGGGCTAGGTTCACTTAACAGTATTATATTTCGTTCATATTATAACTCAGAATGCACAAAATTTATATCATTTAAAGAATTATCTAATCGTTGCCACATGTTCTATTCAAATACTATAATAAAGCTAGAACTATGTATAAAAGAAATTAAGCAAACAAAACAAAAAAGAAACAGTTTTCCACAGACGATTGAGTATTTCTCATTCAATTAATTCAGGTTTCACTCCGCAACAAGGCAAAAGTACATAAAAACTCAAAATATCTGTATTAAAAATTACGAAGTAAATCTTAAACACTTATTTCCTCGACAAAGTTCCAGAAAGGATTAAGCATGATTTAATTCGCAATAATAAATGAAGGCGTTATCTTTGTTGTTCCGAAGCTACGGTTCTCTAGATTGGCAACAAATCCACTACTCTGCTGTTTCAAATGTAAACAAGCAATGGCCGCCATCAAAAAAATTATTAGGCTTAGCGGCACTTAAACAACTTTAAAATTGTTGATAATTCTAAAAATAGGCATACAGATTTACTAAAGGCATAAAAAACCTTAACCGGAAAATAAGAACAACATAATTCAATCATTTTTAAAGCAAAAAATATACAATTTACAAACATATAGGAGTAAAGAAACTGAGATCACTGAGCCGGGTAACAGAGTGGATATATATATATAAATATATTTATATACGTTTGGCGCGCCTGATTGCAACCAAAATACGAGGTGCACATCTACATGTTATACTAGTCCTATATACAAAATTTCAAGGTTCTGAGGCTACTCGTTTTTGAGTTATGCGAGATACGTACATACGTTCGTACAGACGCCACGAAAAATTCTCTTCAGAATTCATTTTAATGCAGTTTTATAATTTTTTCGGAGAAAAAGAGTCTTTTATTCAGTCCTTACGTACAGATATCACGCAAAAACATCGTTAAATTGCATTCGAAAGCGGCCAAAATGGATATTTTCGTTGAAATATGTTGTCTGAAACTTTTCGCGATTACAATACTTCTATTTTACTTCGTACAAGGAAGTAAAAAGAACATTATACATATGTAGATAATATAAATGTTATAGTAAACAAAACCTTACTTGTACAGACTTAAATAATTAACCATCTCTCATGGAGTCTGAAAACGAAACACGACGCTAAGTTTCGCAGCAAACAACAGCACGAACAGTCATCGAAATTTTCCGAGGTCTGATAACACAGAATTATTATTGTTTGTTTGTATCAAACATAGGTTTCATATACATGCTTCCAAACGTTTCTTGCTTCTTCTTGACTTTTTCTTTTCTTTTTGCATTGACAAGTCAATACAAATGTGCATTTTACAAATACAAAACTTAGAAAATATTCCTTACTTCTTTTTGTATCACTAGCATTTCAAAACGAGTTACTATTCGACGTTTAGTTCTCCAAACCCGCTAAGTAGATAAATCGCCCACTCATGTTTCATTGTATTCTGATAGCGAATTATTAAAAAGGACGTTGTCATAGCAACAATCTCGAAGACACATTTTTATCACTCGGAGCCCGTCGATATGAAATCTAGCAGAAAACTGAAGTGGTAAATCTGGGAAGATTACCATATTTATTTTTTTTCGGGGGGTGCTTTATATTTCTATATGTGCGTCATTCATCGCAGAATCTATAAATATGCTGTATTTCAACGCTTATTCATCTGCGGTTTTCAAACTTAGTTAAATGAATACCAAATATCGTATTATATATCATTTGTAAATCAAATAATAATGGGCCATTTTTCTTGAACGGTAAATTGCAATCTGTACCACATGCATAGGCATGTATTTCTAGTTGCAAAGAAATACTTTAAATTATTAATTTTTAGTGCGCAACATTTAGTGCAATAATAGGCAGCAATATTCAAAGGTACTTAACGAGACGTATTACTTACTGGAACGCATCACAAAAGAATAGGCACTTCAAGATCATTTTCGCCGCCTGACATGCCTCGTAACCATGATAACAGCAGCTGCAACAGATGATCTGATCTCCCAACTGCATTTTTCCTCTTTAATCTTCAGCTTGTTTCGCTTCGTGAAAAGGGCACGAATAAAAACTGATTTTAGGTTTAGTTTCAGTTAAGATGGAGAAAAACCTTCTATGTGTTAATAGTCGCACGTGTTACGGTTGTCAATAAGGAAGGATCGCAAGAACCTTGAAGTGCATATATGAAGGTAACGAACAACAGTAAGCTATTTTCATTAAAGTAATGAATCATAAAAACTGTTAGTTGCATAAAAGATTTAGGATACTCATTGATTTTAATCTTTTAACGGCTTTGAATCAAAATTTTAAAAGCTAAAATTCAGTAACAAAACATATTATGAGCAAAACTGACTGTTAAATTCTTATAAACGCAAGCATCTCGTCCTTTTCAAAGATCCAAATTGGAAAGTGAAATACAGCTTAAGGTACAGAAAGGTTTTGCATGTTTCGAGATAAAGTTATCACTCCATTTCAAGCACAAAAACATTTTGAACCAAACTACCAGAAATATATCCCTTAAATAGCAGGATTTAGAATTAGACAAAAGAAAAATAAATAAGTGATAAAAATTAAAGCAACGATCTTAAAACTCTCCTTTATGCAAAATATAAAGGAAGATCTAAACAATTATGAGTTAAGACCTTCAAATATTTTCTAGAAAAAAGAATTATAGTTAAAATACTTAATTAAAGGTAACTGTTACTTTTTAGCGAATTTTAAAATATTCAGGGATATAAAATTCATAAATGAAATTTTTAGAAAAATGAAGGGATAAACAAGGGCAATAATTTTTATGAAATTAAAGTTAAAATATGTCTGGAAGGACAAAGATTCATTAAATAATATTAATGTCAATCTAAGTCTGGATTTTTGCCAGATTTTAAAATTCAAACTATGATGTTATCTTTCTTTAATATTTAAGCATTTACCACTTATACTGACTTAATATAAATAGTTTTCTGATATATTCTCTTCTTCAAATGAATGTGTTGCCATTTAACTTCAAAATTTACACTAAAATTCACTTGGAAAATATTTATTTTATTTTCAATGACAAGATGAAATACAACACACAAACTGCAATAAATAAAACAAAGGACATAAATAAATAATACCGACACTGATTGTAAATAAATATTCACAAAACATTTAGACGTAACAAATACGGGTAAACCCCGTAGTCTTCAATTCATTCATTTCTCCGTATAAGCACTGACATAATACGTGGCCTTTCTAAACAAAAGTAAACGATTCTGTAGGCCTGCTACACACAAAAAAAAAAGAAAAGAAATATGGGGCAGGTGCTGACGGTTAACATATTTAAGATACTGTAATATTACTTTCACCTTATAATTTCCTATACAGTTTAGCACATGAATTAGACTCACATTATGGTATATTCTGTATAATAAATATTTAGAAAATTTTCCTTCCTTTTCTTTTCCCATTTTACGCTTTTGATGCAATATTTCAAAATGTGCTCCATTTTTTTCGAATGACGGGGGGTAGGATATAAGCTAAATTAAACATGAATCATTTGGTCTTCTTTACTACCTTTTTTATATAGGAATTACCAGAGAAGACTGTAAATGATTGGTTAAAATACAATTAGCCATTGCAAACTGTTGTATGTAACTTAACAATGTATGTCGCTTTAAAATAATATAAAATTTTTGTGCATTTACCCTTCATTATTTGAACTTCGATATTAATTTTTGATATTAAAAATATTCGAGTTACAAGCAAACGAATCAATTTTATCCAAGCCAGATGGAAAAATATTTTATCTTAAAATTAGATTCCTAAAACATATTAATTCATTAAAATAACGTATTCAGTTAAGCTTTATAGACATGTGTTTCTTTAATTTATTTGCTTGTAATCCTATTTAAAATTATAATTTCTATTTCTCTCATTTTAAAGGAGCAACTGTAGTAATATTCTTACATCAGATAAATTTCTTTCAGAAAGTATTGCATGGGTTAACTGAGACTTCATCTCTTTAACAATTTACAAGTACGTTTCTTCCTCTATAAAATCTTAATTTTCTTGAACTATTACTAAATTTATGCGGCCAGTTATGGAAAAGAGGTCGCTTCATGTTTTAAAAGAACAGTTTTTGGTACAAAACTAACAATGCTCATAGAATTCCGATAATTTGGATGAAACAATGCTTGAAATAGTCAGGTGCTTTGTACATATTATAAAACAAACAACTCAAATGAAGAGCTGTCAGTTACAAAACGAAGAATCGTGCGATCTAGCAGTGCGCATTCGACAAAGAGTCTCTTGTTTGCATTCACCTGTGCAGTCTTCTCTTGGAAAGTCACTCAGATGATATAAATGACTAGAAAAAAAGGAGTATGTATAAATTTTCATGACTTTACAAGCATAATATTACAGTTAAATCAGCAATAAACTTTAAATAACAAATCAAAAAGAGATATCAAACTTTAAATAACGCATATAAACTTTAAGTAATTTAAATAACAAAAGTTTTGGTTTGGTTTGATTTATTTAATTATGGCAAAGTACGCAAGGGCTATGGGTATGCCTTTGTGGAGGACTTCCTAAGGAAAACTTGCTCGTATACATGTTACACAAGGAGAAAACCTCCAAAACGCCCGTGCAGCCGGCTCGCTCTCCTAAATCGGCTAAAAAACATTGGCTAAATGGCTAAATTGGAAAGCATTTAGAGACTTTGAATTCTTTAGAATGTAGTCCTTTTTCTTTCCTTTTATTTTGTTATCTGTAACACTAAACAAAGCCATGGACTAGGGAGTTAACAATGACATAGAAAAGTTACTGGTGGACTTAAAAATGAGATAAAAAGAAAGAATTACAACGAACCGCAGAAGCAGTAACAGAAGGAGATTGTGCAAGTAACGTTTTAGAAAGAGAGGACGAAAAAAAATTCTCCTTATTCTCTGATCTCTGATTTGCGCAAAAGGTAGTAGGATGTAAAGTTTTCACGTTTTAAGATGTTACCCTGGTAAAACAGGAGCAAGTTATATATTCTACTTTTGCCGCCTTCTTCGTACACTCTTCTTTGCACAAATGCCGTAAAATTTTAATTAATTTTCAAGGTATTTTATCTGTTTGATATTGTAGTTAACTTTTTTATATTTAATGATTTCCATCAGTCTGGAATTATGAACTTGTGTCAAAGCAAATGTTATAAAAACAATCATCTGTATCTGTGGTCCAGGAACCAATTAATTCATTTGCTATTAATTCCAACAGAAAAAGGATTCAGTTTTATGAATATTTCAGTCGACAAATGACCTTCAGGAAAGAATTAAGTTCTGAAACCGAAGTCGTACATTCAATATATTATTAAAATTTAATGCTGAGACTCATAAACTATAAACATTTAATGATGCTAATGTTGAAACTCAGTAGCTGAATACATATCATACTCTATTAAAATTTAATAATGACGTTTAAGATCTAATTTTTTCATTTATGCTGAAATTTCTTTGGCATAATTTTTTAAATAATGCTGAAAAATTTTAAAGTTTTCTTATTTCATATTCTAATATATTCATATTCTAAATAGCTTATGAATTAAATGTTCATATTTTTTCATGTATTTCATTGGGCCCACCAGCGGCCGAGCGGTAAAATCGCTGAACCCTGGTAGTTCGGTCCGAGGTTCGAATCCCGCGAACGGGCTGGCTGCATGGGCGTTTTCGTAGTTTTCCCCATGTGTAACGTGTATACGAGCCAGTTTCCCTTAGAAAGTCTTCCACGAAGGCATCCCTCCTCTTAGGCAGATAGCCCTCGAGGCTTTGCCATAATCACACACACACACATGTATTTCAAGAAATGTTAAAGTTCAACTTTTTCACCAATTTACTGAAGAAAGGAAAAATAATACTCCGAAAGACATGTTTTAAAACAGGGTTTTTAAATCTCAGCATAATGAACCTTAATTTCAGAACAAACTAATTTCATAAAAATCGTAATTATCTGCGCACTCCTTAACTTTCGTATTCTGATGCCTAGAATAATGTCCATGACCAAGTATTATATGCGATATCTTTCCTGCTTCTAATACTCGGAAGAAAATTTACAATCCTGTTCTTCTTCAACTACCAAAGAATAAATCTTCTGTCTTTTAGAATTCCATTTCTTTAAGCAGATTGGTTAGAAGAATGAAACAAGACAGTATTATGGTTACCGTATGGTTGAATTACCTGACAAATTTCTGAAATAACTTATCATCTTCTTGGAAACGTTCCAGGAGCTTGTTCCACTGATCCGGTTGCAGCGATGTTAGGCCATATTCTTTGCGGGCTGAGTATGACTTCCGCCATTTTGGTTTATCCAGCATATTGGCTTCTGTCAGATTCAAATAGTATGTCTCGTGATCCAAAACAGCCTGGAACAAAAAGGTCGGAACGTTAAAGAAAATCTAATCGAATTAAATTTCTTGGCATGAACTGGTTCATACACATTTTATTTTAAAATCTGACCGCTTATACCAATAATCCATGCACTATTTTCTTACCGCAGAATAATTCATTCTGTAGATTAGTATGAAATAGATTAAACATTTTGTTATGATATGTGTATCGCATGTCTTATACGCATGACTGTATAATCCATTACTGCGTTTTGCTCTGCGTATTGCATCCGCATTTCTGTATTGAACTAGTGTATTATTTTTATCTTATATGATACATAATTATATGCAGGCATTTTTAGTATGCGTATGCCTGGTATAGCATCACTTACGAAGGTAATATGGTCGCACAACAGCCTGTAAATATTACATATGTTATGTAGTTTATATCCTATTCTTCTAAATGTAATTACTCCTTAAATGTAATTACATTGTACCATGCTTTATTTGCCTCTCTAGTTACATATGTTAATGCTGTTCACTAGATAATGGTGGGCGTTGGGCTGTTTGATTAACCTCTATGGTAAATGTACAGTGCCTACGTCCTGCGTCACTTATCACCTTATCATTTAACGATATGTGTAGTTAGTCAGTTAGCAGACTTTCCTTTAATCAAATCAACAGTAAATTTATCAGAAGAATTATGTTTTTATTTTTATTTTATTTTATTTATTTATTTTATTTTATTTTATTATTTATTTTATTTTTTTTTTTTTTTTTTTTTGAATCTGGCTCAGCCTTAAAAACTTTTGGATAAATATTTTTCTGATTAAAGTTTTAATACCCATTCCAATAGGAATATTTAAAAAATCATGAAAATAATTTTTCTGATGTAAACTTTTAGTATCAATTCCAACAAGAATAATTAAAAAATCATAAAACTAATTAAAGTAGTTACTGTTGATATAACAGCATAGTTACTATTGATATAATAATAAACAGCAAACTCTCATTGCAGTTACCTTTCAAAAGGATAAGGCGAATTAAAATTGAAGGGGATTGCCATTCAAACCACCAAAAATTACAAAGAAACAGGATAGGTGCTAGGAGTTTTGTCGGACAGTGCAATCTCTGTGCGTCCTAAATTATGCTTCCTAGTGCTTCTCCAAATTCTAAAGATTTTGCCACCCCCGAATTCGGTCTCCTAAATTCTCTATATTCTGCTATTGGGTGCTACTCTAAAATCTAAAAATTGTTTCGACCCTAAATACCGCCCCCCAGCGGTCGCACCGGCTTTGGCGTCGCCCTGCAAAAAGCAGCACAGTGTTCGACCAAATGACAACCATAATTAATTTGTCGAAATAGCTGCTGTAAACTAAGTAAAAACGTTTTTAAAGACAAAATCAGAGGCTTAAAAATGTTTCTTCAGAATTTTAAATGTGGCCGAAATTTTGCTTTTTTGGCTATTTTAAACGCGGCGAAGTAATACAATAGAGTAGAGATTAGCTCTTCTTTTAAAGCTTCTAAGATTTGTTTTTAAATGAAGCAATGTTTTAAGAGTTTATTATTTTGTTTATCATTCGTAGATATAGTTCAGAGAAATAAACGTACTTCCAAAACAAAGAGTTCTTTTCTGATGAAATAATTTAGAATTAATAACTAAAGCAATAAATGTAAAATATGCTATGATCAGAATTTATATTTAAAAAAGGTTAAATACGCAACTTAAATGTTAACTGATTTAATTTCTAATCCATGAAATAAAAATTTCAAAATGCATTAAAATTTAAATATCAAATACTCATCAGTACAAAGTACTAATCAATGCATATGTTACATAGTGCTCAAATATAAACTATATAATAGCGACATCATGGGGAACAGCCCTAAAGATAGCATCGAAATCGGTATTTTCAGAGTAAATTAGAAATCTGATAATATCTGACAAATAACTGCCTTCGCCTCATAAAATGTTAAATTCTAAAGCTTAACTATCTCCAAGCAGACAGTTTGAATAATAGTTTAAACCATAACTACAAAATGCTGATAAATAATTCTGAATAATAACAATTTACACGGGATTTCATTAGAATTCCTAAAAAGGAAAGGAAAATTATTAAGACCCATAACATTAATCAAATGTTTGGAAAGCAGTTTAAAATGGTGTAATTGTACGATCAATGCAGAAATTAAATTGTCTGAGTTTGAAACCTATACTCGAAGTGGAGATCAATTAAAGCAGAAGTGCCATAACGTCCAATCTTAAGGTTATGACATAGCATATACACTTAACGACTTTCTCAAGGACACTAAAATTCTTCGTTAATTGCACAACTGTTCTGGCACGCGCCGGAACGCTAGAGAATATTTGTTGCCAACTGCGCATGATTGTCTTGATTTGCTAAAAGTATGACTTATTGATTGGAGAATCTCAATTACCGTCAACAAATCAAATTCAGTCCTAGTTCGCAAAGGTCACTCACTCAATCTCCTATCCCTTCCACGTTATTTAAAGAAGGAATGCGCTAGTAACAAGATGTCGCGACCTTAGGCATCATTCTTAGTAATAGCGTTAATTTTTAGGAGAAATAAATTTGGTATCTCCGTAGCTAAATGAAAACGTCTCAAAAATAAAATCTAACAATAATCCTTCCAGGCTTATTTGACTTCGCCATCACGGGCAGGGTTACCAGATGCAAAAGTGAAAAAGGAGGGTGTTTATTTTGAAAGAGAGACATTTCAAAGTTAAATGAAAGTTTTCAAAGTTAAATTAAAGTTAATTAATTTTTTATCGTCAGAAAGAAATAACATCAACATTAAAATAATTTTTAGAATATAATGTTAATGTCAATTAGATATTTAAATATATTTTCCGGGTCAAAAGTTTAAAAATTAATTTCTCCCTCCTTCCAGCATGCATTCGTGGTGTAACGCTTAGAACACTCGGCGCGTATTCGAGATATCCAGGTTCTAGTTCCGGAAAGAGAAGCTCATTTTTCACAACATCAAAATAAACCTAATGATTCTACAGTGGCTCCCGAACTAAAAGGGGGTGGATGATGATTCTTCACCAGGATTTGGGGATTGGGTCTCCTAATCCTCAGTAGCCCTTTAGGGTATTTTCCCCCTTCTTCCAATTTGCCATCGTGGTGCAACGGTTAGCACACTCGGCGCATATTCGAGAGATCTAGGTTCGAGTCTCGGCGAGAGCATTGCTCATTTTATCATCAGTATCAAAATAAGCTAATGATTCTACACGTTCTATTTCTTAAGTAACTGTAAAGAATCCGAGCATGTCATACTCTTAAAATTGTATATTATGAGTATTATCACCTTTCCTAACTCCGTATTAAGTCTATTCCTTCCTTGGTCCACTAAATCCAATTTTTCATTGAAAAAGGTTTTCTCAACCTTTGCGTTATAAGTAGAAATGCAAAAATAAAATTCACAAATTTTTAGTAATTCCGAAAAACATTCAATATTAGGAAAAAGTTTAAAAACTATTATCCGATGTTTATGCAGATTATAATTTTCATGAATTTAATCCTTTTGTTTACAGATTTGAGGAAATGACATCAGGCTGTTGCAAAACTAGTCGTATCGATGATAATACCTCTTTCTTGAAGAATTCATTGCAATGAAAAACACCTTCAAATTTGTACTTACTGTATTCAAGTACCATGCATTCAAAACACTTAAAACTCATATAGTTCTTAGTGTACACTTTGCCATACAGTCAAGAGATGTTTTATAAACACATTGAAATCGTCATAGATATTCTGCTCTTCTTCCTTCGAAATATTACTTTTATACCGCACCGAACATATTAAAAAAGGAGAACATTTTAAGTTTGATGAAGGATATTATATTTTAATCGAAAAAGGAGACTTTTTTTCGGATACTATATATCCTCCCTTTGAATACTATACTTATAAGGGACATGTTGCAAAAACATATATCTATAAAATCCAAATTCTGCAATAAGATAGAACGACAAAGGCTTCTTACAGGAATAGTCATTGCTCCTTGGTTTTAAGGAATAACGCATTAGATATCGAATTTAAATTTCGAAACCATCAAAACTTTACTCTTAAAACAGCTCACATTTTTATTACAATATTAAACATCATGAAATCATTAGGATTTTACACTAAACCTAATCCTTTTCATGAAACCTAAATCTTTAACATATCTTCCACACAGCCTAGTAAATAGCTATTATCTAGAGAGTTTCCATACTAAGTCTTGGATTTATCTTTCAAATAATAATCGTATTACTTAACAAAGCGAGCAATCTAAAACTAATAAATACACTCATTTCTTAGTAATTTAAATCTTTAATAATTTTAAGTAATATATAAAACTGACATAATTTTAAATTTACTTAATTTATAATACTACCTAGCCGACCATTTTTTATGAGACTTTGTAGCGTTATTGTAAATAATATTGTTACGAATTATCTATAATGTAACGTGAAAAGTCTTAAGAAATGAAACTCCGCAGGAAAAATAAGGTTACAGGAGCAAGTTCACTTAGCATTGAGGTAAATGGCTACGTCCCTAAATTGCCGAAATATCGCCAAGTTGGTAATGGTTTGGGCTACTTATTTTTTTCGCCAAACTTGGCGACCATATGTGACATTTTGGTCCGTCCGTGCACAACTGTAATTGAATAACGTAATTGATCCCTGTATGTAACTGTAGCTGTAAGAGGACTTTTGTGGAAAGTTCCAGAACTGTATTTTTTTAAATAAATTTTATCAAGTTATCTTCGTTCTGTGTGCATTCAATCTATTGCGAACCCGTACATACGTAAGAATATAAAAGGTAATGGAGCTAGGTACTAATTGTAAAACCTTTTATAAAAATGCCTACATTTTAAATGTGTTTATGCTTCTTTGATTATAACTATTTTTTATAGAATAACTATTTGTTCATCATATGCACAAAACAAACATTCGGCAATTTGTTTATTTTAGCACTAAAAGCATTTAGTTAAAACTATTCTTCTGTTACAATGAGCCCAGGACTTAGAGGTAAATTGTACCAAACTTGGAGGAAGTAGTAATAATACAAATTGCAATATTTACAAAACGTTTTGGTAATTATTATAGGTATGTAGTGACTTGGTATGATGACAATGAATGATATCAAGTGGTTTAGAGCAAAACAAATATAAAATTATTTAATCAATCAACATAACAGTCTTCACTAGAACTTGCAATTAACGCAAACAAATGATAGATTATTTTCCTTCACATATTTAACGTGTGATCACATTTTGAAAACTAGGCTTTGCACCAATTCGTTTTCATAATAAAGTTATGCACAGCAATTTATCTATTTCAGAATCTGTATTTGGGTTCAAAATTCTCTTTTTCGCTATATATTTTTTCTTTAACTGTTCCCTATCCTTCGTCTTTATTTTCTTTTCTTCAGTTCTTATTAATTATCTCTTAATATTCGTTTTCAGATGCTTCTGTTTCGGATATGTCAATTAGAACAGTAGATTCCATATTGCGTAGGCTAGTGTTAGACTGAGGTGAAGTCTAAGAGAAGGTCAGTATTTGAAGTTGAAACATCAAATTTTCTATATTGGAAAATAAAGCTAGATAGAATAAAATAAATTTGTATTTTAACATCTAAAGAAGAAAGTCTTAAATCAAGATCTGAAGGCAAGTTTTAATATATTACAACTTGCCCCGAGATTTTGTTACAATCTGCCCCATCCTATGATTTCGGACATTTTTGCTGATTTATAAAAAATATATTGCGATTACTAATTCAGAAGTCAAACAACAAAAATCAGCGTTATATTTTCAAAATTTTTTCACAGGACTAGTTTCGATGGTTTCAACGAACCACCATCCTCAGCTGCAAAACCGCAAATGAACGAGATAAGATATAATGTTTAGGTAGGATAAGAAAGCCTGGACAAGAATAAGCAACTGGGGCCATCTGTTGATGAAACCAGAACTAAAACATAATTTCTTTAAAGGCCGAAGGCAAAGATGGATTAGAATTAGGATCGTTAACTAGAACAGAAAGATTTTTTTTTAATGTGAAATGCCTCTAGAAAATCCAGTTCTCCAATGAAAGATGTTTTTTGAATAATTTTGGCAGCAGAAAAAGTGTGATTTTCGGACCAGCAATGTTGAGCAACAGAAGACTTCTGTGTTTCCTTTTTTCTAACATATGCCTCATGTCCCTTGACGCGAAATTTTAAGGTTCTCTTAGTTTGGCCAATGTATTTGTTCGGCGTGTTATTCTATCTTAATTATATTGCGATTAGTTAAAAAAATTAAAGCAGCATTTCAAACTTAATTCGTACACAAAAATAAAAAATTAAAACCTATTTTAAAAAAGATCACTTAACGTACCATAAATCAAAATGTACGAAATCAACTAGCTAAGACGAAGCACGTGCACATAACCTGCCTCTACCCGCTTTGCGATGCACTGACCGTGATAGGCCTCCGTCATAAGAATAATATTTATTAAAAATTCTGAAATTTTAAAAACCACTACATAACTGTTACTACTTACCTCTGTTACAATTAGCCCATAACTCCCTTAAATCTAATTCCATATTTTATATATTTTTATGTAAAAGCGTTTGCATTTTATTTTACTTTGAAATCAGAAATATCCGTTCATTCACCTTTCGAAATTTTCATTTAATTCCGGCTTCGTAGAAAATCGAAAGAATTCTATCAAAACAAACGTCGAGAATGAAATTGTTCTATGATATTTCTTCCAATCCAATGAAAAAAAATTGGCAAAGAATACAGAGAATCCGAAAGGCATTCCAGCTCGGCTTATTTCAACTCTTAACTTCGCCACGGTAATTACAAAAATGTCTCGTATCTCTTAATCGAATCATTTAAGGGCATGTCTCACAAAATTCTAGAAATAAAACCGAGTTCCTTTTCTTTACAACATCGAAGAAACTTGCCCTTACTACAAATGGCCGTTTTAAGTGTCTTTTTGACTATCATTATCATAAGAAAATACAGTTGTATGAATTAATTTTTCAGTGAAAAGTGGGGACAAATTAGTTAGACATTTATTGCTCTAATATTTACTGAAAGATGAAAATGAAATTACAGTAGAACTCCAATTATCTGAATCATTTGGGACCGAACCCCATTCGGATAATCAAAAATTCGGATAATTGGATATTGCCGAAGAAAGGGTCTACATACACTGTAATTAATTACTGTATATACTTTATGTTGAAAATGGGAGGAAAACGATTTGAAGAAAAAGAGGTTTTAATTAATTAAAATGAAAAGGCAACACTTTTACGTACATGCTGTATAGGGTACTGCACAGTACGTACAAGTGGTGAAAGTTATTGTTAAGAAGATGGGAGAAATGCCTTATATACTTCCCCTTTCAAAGAGTGACTCGGTATTAGGGGCTCCAATCGCCAAATCCTGGTGGTAGAGAATTATTACTCACCACCTTTTTCAGTTCGGGAGCCACTGTAGACAAATTAGGTTATTTCGAAGCATTAGCGATGAAAAATGATCAATGCCCTCGCCGGGACTCAAACTAGGGACCTCTCGAATATGCATCGAGTGTGCTGACCACTACACCACGAAGGCATGCTAAAAAGGCGAGAGAAATACCTTATAATGCTACTTCAAATTGCATCTTCAGAGAAATCATGCCTATACCGAAAGTGTTTAAGGGCATTCTTTAAAATACTTTAAAATTTCGGCTTCATCTCTATACACATGCTTCAGTACGACATGACTTTCTTTTGCAGATATAAAGAGAACTTTAAAATGCGACCTTTGCTCCATTGTAAATCCACTGCTACTCATGTGCAATCTGGGGCAGGGGGAGTTAATAGCAGAAATCCGTAATGTTTATTCCTATCTAGTGACCAGACATGTTGAAACACATTTTAAAAGTATCTTCCTGGCGCTCCATAGTTTGCATACCGTTCCGTATCACATGATGTCATTCTCAATTTTATTGTCGTACTTTATGTATGGTTCCCATGGATTTAAAAGTCTAATTAGCAATATCTCGCTTAATCTTTAATCATGCCTTCATTTGCAAAGCTCTTCGAATCTATATTTCTGACATTCATGTGCAAAGGATTTCGTATCTTTTCGCTTCAGTGACTACTGTTTAGCGATTTTACGGTTTTTTCCGAGAATGTTCTCGAAGGCAGGTCAAGAGCTATACATACCCTGCCTGTACACGAGGAGTAGGAGTATCTTGAGAGTGTCTGATGAATGTTGAGTTCTGTAGTAGTGCTTTAAGTTCCGTGATTACCTCGAGAGCGATCGACTGAGTCGGAACCTGTATTTAAGTGCTTTGTCGTGAAGCTTGTCTTCATCGCAGTTTGGCGTTTCGTAAAAATATGAAAGCATATTGAACGTTTTATTAATCGAAAGTTTTACTCTGTAGTGGGCATATAAAAGTCAAATTCCTTGTATCCTAAAATCCTCAGTGTTGAAACTGTGCATACAAATGCTTAAGAAACTTTATGATTGGAAATACATATCTATGGTACATTAAATAACATCACTTATTCTTTAAAATAATATGAAATTTTACAAAAAATAATAATGTTCAAAATGTCACAAAGCAGCTTAAATTATTCCTAAAACAAGGAAATGAAACCTATAGACATGCCTTTTTCGAATCCATTCGATCTGATCTTCTTTGTTGCACAGTTCATGATTAATTAGATTAGCTTTAAGTACGTACCTGAGTGCTCTCCGGGTAATTTCCATCGACCGTATAAATTCTGTAAGAAGGATTAACGCCGTCGTAGCTGGTGACCGATGGACCGATGTACGCCACTGAAGTGGGTCTGTGTCCATCATAGAAAATCTCCAATTCATCTAAGTGACTATGACCGAAAAATTGACCTCTGACTGTGTTCTCAAACCTGGAAAAGAATTCGCATGAACTCAGTGAATAAAATTGTTACAAATTATAATTCACAAATAATTTTCATCTCTATAAAGTCTTATTTTAAAAACTACGAGATGAAATTCATGAGGTTTATATATATATATACTGATTTTTCATAGATTTTTGAAGTTCTTATTTATTGACTTTTCCTGCGTCTTAAGCCTAATCCTCTAACATCGGTTGGCCCAAGATAAACAGAACCAAAGCAAGTGAACTCTTCCTTGTCTCGTTCAGTTTATCTTCGGCTACCCGATACTGTGTATTCTATGTAAGTTTAATAATTAAATTTTTAAACATATGTTTATAAATATTTCATTTTCAATATTTCATTTAAAACTTAAAATAGTTTATCTTTCATTCGATTGCCCAATTTTTACATCCTTGTACAAATTAAAGGAAGTATTGTAATCGCGAAAAATTTCGAACATCACATTTCAACTGAAATACCCATTTTGAATTTTCCTTAACCCATTTTGACTATTTACTTGCATGACGTTTGTACGCACTGACGATCTAAAAAACACTTTATTCCATATCTCTCATAATTCAAAAATGATTAACCGTAAATGAAATTTTGTATATGGGAAGCTATAACATCTAGTTATGCACCTGCCTTTTTTACTGCAATTGGCAGTAACAAAGATGTATACATATACCCCTTACACGGATTAAAAGCCCTTATCCGGCTTAAAATTCCTTATCCGGTCTTCATTTTCACAATCGGTGGGCGTAGTTATATATTTCCGATTACAGAATTGCGCAATTTCAATTTTAAAAAAAAATCATTTTGGGACAAATAACGAAATTTAACTTTTAATGCTGTCTCGCGATTCCTATGCTTATATTTGGAAAATTTTTATACTCGTTATGAAAAAACAAAATTATAAGAAGTTTGATTCCTGTACAACAAAAATTAACCGATGGATAATTTAATTTCAAAATTTGCAATTTTTAATGTCATTTTCAGCTTATCTTGAGGGATCGGTTAACTAAATTAGAATAAATCGAGGAAATAAATTTAAATGAAATGCAGGAAAAAATGCGTATAACTTAATAGGCCGTAGAAGAAAAGCATATGGTGTCGACGATGAAACCATGCGGTGAAACCATATGGTTTTTGTTTGTTGCTTGATTGCTGAACTATCGATATATTCCGAGATATCATCATCGTTATCAGAAAATGAATATTTGGGACGATTTTAATGTTTAATCTGCTTATATCTGCTGATTATTGAATCATGTATTTCAGATTTTTTTTTTTTAATATGTTGTAGTTTCCGATAAGAACTATCCAACTTATCAGTACTATCCAACTTATGTACTAGAGGCTTTTTCTAATATATAGTACAACAAAACCGATAAAATATGCTTATTTAGTAAATTTATTGTATATTAGAAATTAAAAAAATGGAACTTTTCTCTTTTGACTTTATTTTTGGGTTATTTTTGATTATTCACTTGCTGGATCTGGATCTTTACGTTACCTTCTGGTCTAACTAGAGACCAGATTGTAAGAGAGTTTTGTAATTGTAAGATTGTTGTAAGAGAGTTTTTACACAGTATGTTAAGATTCGAACTCGCAACTCTTGCTTGGTTTTGAAAATCAAAGACACATGATAACATGCGTCGCGCACGTGGCGAGAAAACAATAATAAATGAAAGTCCATTCCATAGTTGATAGATAATTATCATTGAACAAAAAAATTCTTCCTAGACAAGACGTGGAGGATGAGCTTGAAGTCACTTAAATAATCTATATACAAGCTATTTACATTAAATACAATAGTAACTTATTTAGTTTCACTTATTGTGCAGTTCGCACGATTTAAAATATTCACCTGCTGCGGCCATTATTTCGCATGATAAGTTTTATTACCATTTAAAACTGGTGTATATAAAACATGGATGTTACCAATTATAATTCTCTCATTTTTAATAAATTTTTAAAGCGACTGCAATTAAGGTTAGAGACATTGATGTCTTTGTAGAATGCTCGAAGAACGCTTTAATTTGTCTGTACAAGAAGCCGTGACGGCAGACGATTCAGGATCATGATTCACATTGAAAAGCAACAATGAACGTCATTCTGCTGATGGAGTTATCTTTTGGTAAGCATCTAATTAATAACTTAAAACAGCAACCTTCAACAGCAACTCGTTATTTTCTAGGAAATACAGATTCTGCCACTGGGTAGACTGTCATGGCAACAATGTCTGCTTTTTATTTTCTGAGTTAACAGGTCTATTCTCCTACGAATTTTTTAAACCCTGAAGTTACGTACAAGCGTTTAGAAATTCTCAGTAGAGCGTTTCTGCCTTCAGACCACGTCGTCGTTTTAAGCCTATCTTATTACATACGCCCATAGTATTAAGTGCCTGTTAATATTTGAGAATGAGTTTCAATCACTGGACAGCTCGGTTATTTATCTCTATACAGATTATGCTAAAGTTTAGCTAGTTAGAATTAGTTTGGTTTTTCGTTTTCTATCCTAAATTAAAAACCAAGTGGAGGCTTTCCTGTAAGCCGGAGAAGGGACCATCTGTGAATATTTCATTGAATGAATAAAAGGATATATTAACCCTTTTTTGGACTTATATTTTACAGTTGTAAGAAGACCAGCGAATAGTCGCTAGACACTCCTCTTAAAGTTCTAGGAACTAAGATCACATAAATTAAATAGAACTTCATATAGTTAAAAATACAACCAAAATATTATTCTGAAAAGCTTTTCTATATGATAAGCTTTTATATAGAATCTATACTTGCTTAAAGCTAAAAACTGTGCAATTTCCTAACGTAAGCTTTCATTCGCTAATATAAATTGTATGATTTTGTTAAAACAACAACTATGAATAAAATAACTATAATATAAAATCAAAAATACTCTTAATGTAGTACTGTAAAACAAAAATTCTGTCACATTTATATTACTTAATTTAATGTCAGCTATGTTTAGTTTCAATCATCTTACGATTTTTTAAATATTAGTTTCTGCAATGATTCTTTTTTAAATTAAATTTTAATTTCTCTTTTGAATATTTTTATGTCCTTAATTTACCAAAAAAAGCCTTAATCCTTAATAAGTTATTTCAAAACATCAGAAAACCTTTTATGTAAAAAGATGAACATTATAACTTTCAGAAGTATATTTTTGTAATCCTGTGATTCAAAACCTATTTTAGTCCTATTTGAAAAACCCACCAACGGCCAAGCGGTAAAGTCGCTGAATACTCATAGTTCGGTCCACTACTCCCAATCCCAGCGAACGGGCTGGATGTATGGACCTTATCGTGGATTTCTCTATGTGCAACAAGTATTTATGAGCCAATTTTCCCTAGTCCTCCACGTAGACATAATTCCTTTTAGGCAGATGGTACTTCTAGTGCTTTACTATAATCAAATAAACTAACCCTGTTTTAAAAGTAACAAGTTGATATATATCCAAACACAACAGCGAGTAATATTTTATTCTAAAAATTAAAAAGAAATAAGTAGATGTGAGATTTTTTTCTCCTTTTTATATACACATGTGATGTCATAATTTTTAACTTTACTTAAATACCTTTAACTAAATTAACAAATTTTAACCATAAACAAGTATATTCTGTGATACATTTCTATACATTTTAACTTTTTTAAATCTGTATGTTAGTTTTAAACATGCCATTAATAATAAAGACATATGAGAATGTTTGTCAGAATTTAAATTTCATAACTCTGAAGAAGAAAGGCATAAAAACGAAATTTTCTGAGATAACTGGAAATCATTTTTCTAGCAGGCCTTTACATATTTTTACGTATTTAACACTTTTCATACTTAAAATAATGTTTTCTAAGATTTTTGTAAATATTTTATGTTTTGTGTCACCTTCACTAATGCATCATAAATAAAACAATGTTAAAAATAAATAATCGCAAATGATTCATCAGTTTTTAAAACATCGGGCTTCGTAAAGTATTACAAATAAAAAGAAATGTGTGCTATATGAAATGAAGCAAAATTCTTCACAATTTTTAGTCACAAATATAAATGTTTGAAGTGTGATCCCGTTATCACACGACACACGTCCAGATATGTTTTGATACAACGAGTGGCCGAGCGGTTAAAGAAGCTAAATACTAGTTATTCGTGTCGGATTTTAGCTTAGGTGAAACTGGCTAACTGCTTATTTCCATGTATAGCGTGAATATGAGTCGTTTCCCTTAGGAATTCTTTCACGAAAGCATCGCTCCTCTTAGGGAAATAAATCTTGTACTCGTTGCCACATTTAAATATTCTAAGCTAATTTGCACATCCTAAAATTCCCCTGATCATCCAAGCAGGTGTAATGCGAACCTCGAGCTGATTCAGTACTCTTGGCAGAAGATATGCATAAGCGTCATCTTTAATGTACTTTCAAAGTAAAAAGATCGCTAGGTCAGGAGACCTAGGTGACCATCGCACACCTTTCTCTAGTGTCGACTATTTATGTAACGACATACTTTACAACGTTGGCGAACACCACTTTGCTTTAAAACGGAATTATGACTATTTACCATTCCGCACAGATGAAACGTCGCTTTATCTGTGAATATTAGATGAACGGCAAAATCTTATAATGCTATTTGCATGCAACTACAAAATTCATATCGCCTGATGTAAGCATCCGGCTCCATTTTCTTAACACACTTGAGTAGCAGTTGATCTGAATCGCATACAGCTTATATACTACTCACTGAAAATCTATTACTTGCCAGACCACAACACAGTTGAACTGTGTGACAGATCTATCAGGCATTTGTTTAGTGCTTAAATATATATCGTGATTATAAGAAAATGTTAAATAATCCCGGAATATGGCTGAAATAATAATACTCAATAGCATAATAGAATAAAAGACAATTATTACAATACTGCTACTGTAATAAAAATAACATACAATTAAAAAAAAAGGTTTTTATGCAATAAGCTTCTTTGAAAAATAGTTATGATAATTAATTCACTAAAAGGGGAAACATAATTTATCACATACTTTAATGGGATAATAGATGAAATAATTCTATTTGCATAATACATCTACAGTTTTATATCGAGATTAATAGTGTGGGACGTCTTAGATACATTTAAAAAGATAATAGCTTATATATTTGAAAACGTAATTACATTAATAGAAAATTTAAAGAATAATGGCTTAGACATTTGCCAGTGCAATTAAATTAGCATATTTCGTTAATTACAGAGGTTTCATTATGTATTACTTACTTTGAAGTAACATATAATACAAAGTGAAATAGTAGTACAGTAAGATATATATATACATATGCCACGTAATATGATAATGTAACGAGGTAAAATTCATTATATACTATAACCATGAAATATATAGAATTTGCAATACTACTATTACAATAATTCTCAGTACAAAATACCCTACGCCATATAAAAGTAATTCTGTTCATGCAAATGGAAAGATTTAAATAATTCTATGAATAACTACAGAAGAAATAAGTATTAAAAGAACATTGCATTGAACGGCATGTTGTCAAAGACAATGGTTAACTGAATGCTGTCAAAGACAATTGCTAAGATATTGCTAGTCTAATAAAATCACACTATCACATCACGTAAAACGACGTATTAAGATAAAAATATGCCACACTTTTACTTGAAGTAATGCTTAAAGTGCTGAATGAATTACGTATATTTGTTTTTTTTAAATAATAAATAAATAAAAGTACGGTACCACATAATACAAAACAAAGCAGAATATACTGTTACAAAATGTAACAGTATATTTATATCGGTAAGATGGCTTCCCCGCAAAGCAGTTTTTAGGGTTGCAATAAAAGGCAAGGAACGGCAAAGTTTCCACATTTGGCGAGAAATCGCCCATTTGGCGACAAATTTGACGATATGCCACGGACGGATGGAGAACCTTCTGGAACGAATTCTTACCGGTTTAGCACAGAATGTTCTCGAATACCAACCAAAAGCTATATAAACCATAAACCCTGCTGGTACGCGGAGAGCCTATCGTGTAACTATCTCCACCTGTTTCTTTAAAAACAGTTGGCCATCCGATCCCTTTGTCTTTAGATAGGAAGTTAGCGTTTTTGACCCTCTGCCTTCGAGAGGTGACGCTAGGTCACCATTTGATTTGATGCGCTCGCTAACTGTAGAGGTGAATTTCGATCACCGCTTGATTTTATGTAGTAACTCGAAAGTTGACATTCGATTACCACTCCGTTTTAGGTAACAATTCGAACAGTAACGAAGTTTATTTGGGTTTGATTTGGCAACATCGCTTCATGAGTATATTCAACAATAAACAATATATGCGTACAAAACAAATGACAATCTTTAATGCTAAATACGTTTATTAGATTTATTGTTATATATGTGTTTTCGACGTTAGTTCAAGTCGACAGTCATGGCAACAGGAATATTATTTTCAAGCTTACGGATCCCAATAAGCATGGAATACGATAAAGCAATCAGTTCGAGTTTTCGTTGATGAAGAACGAAATTGCGTTTACGCATAGACTACTTGACAACAGGAGTAAAGCGGTTGTGTAAATAGCGATGAAGTAAGGGAGGACGAAAAATTAGGGTAATAGTGAATGTGAAATGACAGTGTTTCGGCAGAAGAGACAGAAATTTCAGAATACTTTTTTTATTTATTTCCAATGCAGGGCACTCAATACTAAGGCCGGAAGCAGGTGCCACTATTATGGAGGCACCTAACAGGGGAGCCACCGTTGCCTCCTATGAAGGAGCAAACAATTTACATCCATGCCTTCTCCAGGCCTTCGGTATGGCAGACAGTGTCACTAACCACTTTCCTGTCTTAAATTTGATTACGTTTTGCAGAGAACCTTCGTACAGTATCACATTTGCTAATGTTGTAGTCAACAAGCAAAAAATGAAAATGTGAATTATTAAAAGAAAAACAGAATTGAGAAATTTATGTCATACTGACCTATTTATAATTCGATTATAGTTGGCGCTCCACACAGGTAGACAGTCACTGTGACCGGGTGGTATATGGCCAATGATATGAACCTGTGGGAAAGAGTTAAAGTCAAATATTCGTTAGTTAAGTCTTCATACAAATGTAATCATTAATAAAAAAATTAGTGCCCCCCCCAAAAAAAAATTCATAAAACAAGAGTTTATACCACAAACTTTTCCAAAAATACATTTTATCTTTAAGCAGAGCGGAAATCAGGAAAAGAATATCAAATTTTAAAATATATATATATGTGTGTAAGGTGGAAATACGTGAATCAGAACTTTAGCTTTAATTTGCAACAACTCTTTAATTCTGTACCTTGATTTGGTTCTTTCAACAAAGAGTAACTGCTTATAACGACTTTCTCTAAACTGCATTCTTCTCAAAGTTAACGATTCTCACATACTGCTTGAGACAAAAATAATTTCAAATTTGGGAACCAAAGCGTAAAACTAGTCAATCATAACTAGCAATAACAAAAGTATAAGCGACGAACGTGATTTGTAGCAGAGAGAAGCGATGTGCCCAAGATGAGATCCTGGCACAGAAAGATTTGGATTCGGCACAGCTTTTTATTTTTATTAGTTGATGTTTAAGGTTTGTTTCGTTGATTTGGTTAGTTTTAAGATTAGTTACCTCCACCTACATGCAACTTAAAATCCGATATGAATGCGTGTATTATTGAAAGACATTGTTGTAAGCAGGGAAATGGTAATTTCAGCCAAGTTCTTAAGAAGAATTTTTAAACTATAAGTTATTTACAAAGCTGCTTTAAAGTTTGCTGACGTTTAATGAATATTTAACTTACCATGTGTATGGACATTCTTGCTGTACTCAGTCTTACAATTCTTTCATAATGTAATGAAACATTTTTATCAAAATGCTTATGCACTTAAGAAGGACACCAGCTGCCAATTATAAACTCCTTTATTAAGCTGAGAATATTACATTAAATGCAATATTCTTGAATACTATGAACATATATGTTTCGGCATGACAGTCGGAAAATGACAGTGTTTCGGCAGAAGAGACAGAAATTTCAGAATACTTTTTTTATTTATTTCCAATGCAGGGCACTCAATACTAAGTGCAGGTGCCACTATTATGGAGGCACCTAACAGGGGAGCCACCGTTGCCTCCTATGAAGGAGCAAACAATTTACATCCATGCAATATTCTTGAATACTATGAACATATATGCACAGTGTGCACAAAACTTCTTATTCTCGTAATCGTTGGTCATAGTTTATGTTTAGAATGATGCAAATATTCATGTTTGGGCATTTCTAAACACATGAGAAAACAATTCGGTAAACGTATAAAATCTAAGTTTACCGCACTGTACTATCACTTCTTATTTTCTACTTCCGGTCAGAATTAAATGCTTTAACTTGTTCATGCAAATTGTCTTACTAACGCCCAAGTACTTAAGTTGTGACTTTTTGCCAAGCGGAAGAGAGAAGGAGTTTTAGGAAGCAAGCCGCTTGCCACTGCAGTTTTAAGAGTTTTCACTCGGTTGCTGGTTGCCGTTTAAGGCCAGAGGTTTAGCCCTCTTGATATTTGTAAACGTATTGTAGTTTCAGCAGCTCGGCGTACTACATACTTACCTTTTTTAAATAAAGTCCGGTCTTAGTGCTAGGCATTTGTATACTAATTCAATGTTAGCTTTTAGTTAGAGTTTTAGTTAGTAGTTTTTTATTCTTACGTTCAGACCACAAGTGGTTGGTCTCTGTATTCCGAAGTTCGGAAGTGCCTGTAAAGTATTGAAAATAAAGAGTTTCGTACACCCTTCCTTCTTGTGTCGTCTGTTATACGCAAATCTTGAACATAGCTTGAGTAAACTTCCTGTTCTTATTCAGGGCATTCCATGTTTCCAAAGCAAATCAAGAGAAACACAAGTCCTGACATCATTATAAAAAATAAAATACAAAATGGCTTCGCTGCGATCAAAACTGACTTAAACTTTGAAGCCTAGGATTATATTCAGGTAGGAACACAAATTTAAAAGAAAAATGTTTTTATGTGTACGTAACTGAAAATGAAACATCATTTCAGGAAAAGATTTCTGATGTTAATAAACGACGAGTCTTTCTATGGAGACTGTGGTGAAAAATATTGTTACGAATTTTGTACATATGTGAGTAATTTTAGTGAAATTATATGTGAAATTGTAGTATTTTTTGTGTAATATACCATGAAATGCTTGAAAGAGTACTGAATGCTATGCCGGGAAAATAAGAATACAGGGGCAAGTCTATTTAACAATGAGTAAGTGGCTATAAAATTGGCGAGATAATGCCAAGGTGGCGATGGAGACTAATGTTTGTCGCCAAATTCGGTGCGAATTCGCCAAAATTTGGTAAATTTGTGACCATGCGGTGGTATTTTGTTCCTGCCGAGTTTAATTGTAATGAGTATTGTAACCTAATAACTCTAATTGATCTGTATGTAACTGTAACTGTACCCGACCTTCATATACCTTCCAGTAATTTCGAGAAGTGGAAGGTACTAGAGATTTCTCGGCGGCCGGGGAAAATATATGTAAGACCGGGGAGAATATCAGTTTCTTAGTAGTTGTTAGTACAAAGCTGAATACGGAGTATTGAAATATCCGTGAGATCTTCGCCTTTTAGATGCGATTTGCATTACATTGTGTTTAGAGCTCTTAGTAGTTTCAAGTGTAATTACTGACTGTACTTTGTGATACTGTGAAGAGCTGTATTAGTATTTTTATGAAAAGTTTCAGAGCTGTTGAAGTGTTTCTTTTGGTAAAATAAATTTTATCAAATTATAATCAATTCTGTGTGCATTCAAGCTATTACGAACCCTTACGCTAGCAACAGTATTGATCAATACCATTTTTTCTAAAAAAGAATCTTATTCACAGTATCTTTAAATTAACTTCGGTACTGCACTGGCAAGCTTCGGTATTGGCGCACAAAAAATTCATAACCTTATTTGCCTTTTTAAAAATTAAAAATATTTCTAATTTAAGAAATTTTTATGAATATTTTATAAGAAAAATAAAGTAATAAAACTTCGTAAGGATATTAATAACGTATGTTTAGCATTTGAAAAGTTGTAAGCTAACTTGAGTGCAAATTGTTGTTTGCCAAAGCAGTCATAACAAAATTATAAATTAAAGAATATCACACACACACACAAAAAAAAAAAAAAAAAAAAAAAAAAAAAACAGTATGTGTCAAGTAAAGAGGATAAATTAGCCTCAAATTTTTCAGATTTATTTATTAACTGATCCCTGAAAGCAAGTTGAAAATGACATCAAAAATCTCAAATTTTTAAATTATATATCTCGACCAGTTTTAGTCGTACGGAAGCAAAATATATTTCTTCTTCTCATAAAGATAATAAACTTTTCTTAAATTTAACTATAGTCACCGGATAATGTATAAAAAGTTAGCTTTCATAATTTTTACAAAATTATTTTTCTAATTTAAAAATTCGAAAACATGTGGATATACATCCTTTCAGCATTTTTGCAGCTGGAAGTGTATTGCCTAAGATCAACGGTTGCGAAAATGAAGGGTAGGAAAGGCCCATAATTTGTGTAGAACACATCTAAATAAATGCAGCTGAAAAACCTTTTAAAAATTTTATTGATATTTTTAAGTTACGATAATAAAACAGCTTATTTATGTTTAATAAAACAGCTTATTTTTAAATATTAACTGTATACATAATAGGATACATTTTATTGATAGTAATTATCAATAATGTACATATCTTATATTGATATTGTATTGAATATATTTACTATATTGATTATAAAATAAGATCAATGTAATATTATATTTATATTACATTGATTTTATTTTGTATATATTCTGTAATATTCCTTAAATATTCGGAACATAATAATATTGATATTCCGTTCTTAAAAATACTAATTTTAAAGTTTCATAAAAACATAATTCTGAAATAACAATTAAAAAGTGAAAAAATGGACAAAGAAAGTGCTTTAAAGATTCGAATTTGTTATTAAAATCCCTAGGATTTATTTCATTTTGCATGTGGATAAAAAAGGCTACTATTGGTTTTACGAGCATATCCAAAATGCAAATGTAATTAAACTAAACAAAGAATAAATTTTTAAAACGCTGCAAACTCTAAAACTTGCATGGATAAGTTTAGAACAGGAAAAAAAATTCTAAAATGTGTTTCTCGTTTCTCGTTCTAATCTGCAGACAAATTTTGTCTTGAATATTTAGAAGGAATAAAATTTTTCTGTAAAGTGAACAGTAATTTCTCCGAGGCTAAAGAAAGGAAAAGTGTTTTTTAATCCTACCTTTTCGCCTCTGAGTTCAGCTTCTTGCAGCTGTTGAACAAGCCACTCTAATTCTTGTCCTGGATCCGTGGAATTTAACAACATCCACCTAAAAGAAGGAGGGAAAAAAACGTACATCATAAGAAGTGGCTAAAAAGTAATAAAAAAAAAAGAGAAAAAGAAGGAAGAATTACTCGCGACATCAAATTCCACTTCGCGAAGAGACGACTAATGAACAAAATCAACACATCTTCAAAAGTCTGAGAGGGTTTAGGGAGTTGTGTAAAAACCGTAGTAATCCATATTAAATTATTGATCTTTCACGTTTCATAAGACTAAAATAAACTCTTTGCTTGTGTTTTAAAAAAGCTAAATTCATTGATGAATTTTTAATATTTCATTAATCCCTATTTTAATTCTGTACACTGTAAGTTTATTTTGAAATCCACGTTCATATATTTATTATAGACTTTACTTTTCATTTTGTTTTTATTGTCCCGGACAGTATGGTTATTAGTGTTAGCTAACTATACGCACCGCTGAATTTGCGTTTGACCCAGATAATGCATATAAATAATGCATTTGTGAAATGGAAATACTTAAAATCAATTCATCTGAAAGTTCTCTCGAGAGATTAGTGGTAAGAAAAATGTGTACGAGGCCCTCCGATACCATAGATGCCATCCTATTTCTGTCTGTCAAAATCTGATGAAACGCAGGCAAAATAAAAGTTTGCTTCGTAAATAAAAGTCTTATAGTTTAGTAAGATGTATAGATTATTAGTAGTTCCCCTGCTATGCTTTTAGACTAGATGTTCTCAATCACAGAATGTTTTTTGGGGTATAAGGTCACGTTGTTACTTAACGTTGTTGTTAACGTTAAGTAACAACGTTGTTACACGTTACGTTGTTGTTAAGTATTTTTGTTTAAGACTACAGAAAACTACTTTTATTCAAATTTTGGCATTTATCAACAATTTCTATACTTTTTATTGTTTGATTTAAAACATACATTAAAAAGTATTCTAAATCTAACTGTTCTTCTTCCGTTATAGGGACTGGATTCAGAAATGCATGTATGTATATATGCATGGCTAAATGGATGGATGTGTTTATGTATGCAAACGTACGTATCTATGTACATATGTATATGGCTATGTACATAAATATGCACATATACATATTTATGTACATAGCCATATACATATGTATATATACACTGCATATATACATATAATTATGTATATATACACTGCATATATACATAAATTTTGGGCCCACCAGCGGCCGAGCGGTAAAGTCGCTGAACACTGGTAGTTCAGTCCGAGGTTCGAATCCCGCGAACGGGCTGGCTGCATGGGTGTTTTCGTGGTTTTCCCCATGTGTAACGTGTATACGAGCCAGTTTCCTTTAGAAAGTCCTCCACGAAGGCATCCCTCCCCTTAGGCAGATAGCCCTACTGTGCTTTGCCATAATTAAATACACACACAACACTATACATAAATTTCTGAATCGGGTCCCGATAACAGAAGAATACCATCTAAATAAATGTATGTATACATTTTTTGAGTTATAGAAGGAGGGTGATAACCTCTAACGATGGTGACAGGGGTGCAGGGGGCAAAATAGATTGAGAACCAGACAGTTGAATCGCTTGCCTTCTTGCCCTCTGTCTGAATTGCTTATTCTTGCGTAGAAACTCTAATTTTAATCGTAAAAATTGTTTCTTTAACTGTTTTCTGCATTTGGTGTTTTCTGTTTTTTATAATTTTTAATGAAGATACTTTGAGTTTTTATGTATTTTTGCTTTCCTGCGAAGTGAGAAATGAATTATTTGAATGAGAAATATATCTGTAATGAAATTCGAGAAAATAAGTTTAAATGAAATGCTGCAAAAGATGTGTATAATTTAATAGGCCATACAAGGAAGTCATGTGATGTCCATATTGGATTTTTTTTTCTGAAAAGTATCATAATTTGGACAGGAAGACAATCTTGCGCTCCTTGCCAGGAGGAATTTCGTGGGCTACGTCAGACAAGTGAGCATAAGCAACAATGCACACAACACACCAGATAATAGATTGATAAGATAGACATGTAAGACGAATCGATAACCGATGGTAAAATGGCCAAAGGCAAAATGGCATGACGGTGAAAGTGCGACGTCGAAACGGCGATGGTGAATAGTCCCAATCCCGAAAAAGCTATACATTTAGAAATGAGAGGTGGAGTCAAGAATGTTCAAGCATGGGAGAATTAATCTTTAATATCAACTAGAACGATTACTTACCAGTTTTGGCTGTTGCAGTAATTCATGTTGAGAGAGAGAAGTCGTAATCCAGGATTGATACGCACTGCGTAATACATTCCTCTAGTTAGAAAAGAAAGGAAAACGTTATCGAACGTTGAACTCAAAATTAAAGAACAGGAGAATTTATTTTAATAAACTTGTAATTTATTATACCAGTAAAACTGTATATGTCTGAAGTTAACTATTTAGATTATTAATTTCGTAAGAGAAATTTATTAATATTTTACATATACAAAATAATAACCTTCACTTCGTATGTACACAATTTTAAGTTTTTTCTTTCAATTTATTATTAGTTTTACAAATTTTCAATTATGCTTTTGTTACTTTAGCATACGCATACGCACTTCAACGTCTTTTTCCCACTCTTGTTGCCACGTAGCCGTCGTAACCACAGCTGCGCACGAAAACCGAACCTTCTAGTTGCATTTTTCCCACTTCAATTCCGTTTACAGTGCTTCGCTTTGTGCAAAGCGGACGAATGAAGCCTGACTGAAGCTGTAGTCTCACAAGTGGTCGAGAAAATAAGTGCTGTGAGGTGATGATAACACGTTGCTATCTATCGTAAATGACCAGGACGTGAAAAGGCCTTCAAATATCTAGTTTAAAGACTGGAAGCGTTTACGTATATTGTTCTAGTCATCATCATTATCATAGTTCTAAAGCGTAAAATTCATTAACTTTGTTCACTATTGTGGAACAAGCCGTAACTAATTAGGAAAAATAAAGTTGCGCATGCGTGAATGTGCAAATGACTCAGAGAAATCTTCAGTCGAATACCAATTTGTATTTCCTTTGCTCTGATGGGTAAGTTTACATACCCAGTTGGCATAAAATTGAGCAGTTAGAAAGAACATTTAGACTTTAGAAGATTTTGTCTAGTTTTTGCTTCGTTATCAAGTCTAGTAGCTTAATAACGAAGTTTGGCTTTTGACACTTGTCTTCGAATGAACGCTTTACTAGACGCAATTAATTTTGATGTCTCTCATCTATAGCTTTGATATTTTGAAAAGTTTGAATTTCAAGAAGTTATCTGTAGGGCCTTCTCTAGGGTGGTCTTGAAACAGTGCATAGTCATTGAAGAGATCTAAACTCTATTTACCTCAGCTTGATTGAAATGCTACTGTTTGGGTATGATCTGGACCACTTCCGACTTCTTCAGATAATCCTTGATGTTTACAATAGGTATAGGCTCTGTTTAATGTCGTCCTCCTCACGAGAAGACATTCTCATCTAATTTTCCACATATTCCTGTTTCTAAAGGTCTTAAAACTTTTCTTGTAGTGATATAATATAAAAAACATACTTACATTCCGGCTTTTCTGTTCATTACTTACCTATTTAGATTCCAATTGTCTGTCACTTTATGCACAGAGCATTTTCTATATTTACACGTTACTTAAGTTTCAGGGTTTTAACCCAGTTATTTTATTACTGTGTTTTTTTTTCTTTTATTTCTAATTTCGTCAACACTAACTAAGCTGCATATTAATTGATGAATTTAAGCGCAGAGGTCTTGAGTACTGCAAGGTTCCACGCTACTTTAATAACTACTGTCAATTGATCACACCGTAAAGACAGACAAATCACTTAACGCTTCGTCGTACTTCTAAAGTATTTAATCTAATAAATACAAACTCAAATGGAGGTTTAATCATAAAATCTTTTTATTTTGTCTTCAATTTGACAGTTACAGAAAGCTGATTAGATGTTAAAATCAAATTATTAAACGCAAAGTAATACGCCAGTTTGGTTTATTTTTCAATATTGTTACGAAATGTTCAAGTGCAGTAAGATAGCTTCCCCGCAAAGCATGTTTAGGTTTACCATAAAAAGGCAAAAGAAGACAGGGTTGCCATATTTAGCGAGAAATCGCCCATTTGAGGATATTTGGTGACAAAGTTGGCGATATGCCATAAACGGAAGGCGAACCTTCTAGAACGAACTTCTTACCGGTTTGGACCTAAAGGTTCTCGAATGCAAGCCAAAAGCTACATAAACCCTGCTGCTACCCGGAGTGCGGAGTCCATCGAGTTGACAGTCACTCATTGAGTGCCTAGTTGAGTCATCAAGAGTCAGTGAGCGAGTGTCTCGTAGTCTAATGCCGAGTAGGTCGTCGAGTCCATCGAAAGAGTCTCTTAGTTATCACGAGTTAGTGCATCGTCGAGTTTCATTTTGTTTGTTTCATTGAGTGTGTTGAGCTCCGAGAACAACTGACCCGATTCGGGAGGGGTACTCTAGTATAGCGTCGAGTGCATCGCGAGTTTTATCGTTGAGAGTCTTTAGAGTACGTAGAGTTCCGAGAACGACCGAGCAGAGTTGGGAGCTGTACTCTGGTGCTTTGACGTGAAGCTGCCTTCACCGTTATAGCCTGACAGTCTGAAGGCTGCGTCGCTGATTGTTTTAACGTGTTTATAATAGCTCTTCGACGACTGTAAACGAGACTTTGGAGCTTTCCTGAGTAATGCTGGATAATAAATTGTGTTTCGATATTTCTTCAAGTGTCGTCGTTATTCACTCCCAATCCATGAATCCGTAAGTAAGAAAAACGCAAAGTATATTTTTAAAGCAGTAACGTCTAGCGTAGCTAAAGCCAGTTAATAAGTTCAGTAGCAGGGAGTAGCGAACAAAACTGGCGCCCAAGGCAAAATATCTTTTTGACGCCCCCCTCCCCGAAAAAAACTCAGTGATATGATGAAAATCTTGTTTGGACACCATTTGGCACCCCTCTGCCAGCGGCGCCCGGGGCATCATACATCCCCTCCTCTCCCTACGCCACTGGCAGGGAGTTCTAACAGAATTGTTGGTCAGTGATAACTACCAAAGGCTCTCTCTCTCTCTCTCCTTTCAAACTCAAGATCTTTGGTTATGAATATATTAACAAATTTTCATCTTGGTAGGAGTTGATGAAAGTAAATGTGCAAAGTAAAAGCAAAATGATAACATAGCTAGATTAATTATCATAACGCAAAGTTGAAAAATAAAACAAAATTATGTGTCATGTTGATAATTTTTGACGACATTTACATATGGTTCGTTAACGCACGAGCTGTTTATGTGCAATATTTGTTATATTGGACTATTACATTAAACTTTAGAATATGATCATTAATTCATTACACTCAATCAACAAATGAAAATAAATTCTCAAAAGGTGCGAAATTATCAATATTTAGATTACAATATATGCCAAATAGAGACAAAAATTAAATTTAAAAAAACATTATGAGATGCTTTCGAATGGCCAAACAGAGTAAAGGAATTAAGCTGCAAGACTTTATGAAAACAAATATTGATAAGTATACAATTTTTTCTCCAGTAGAATAGAAATTATGTTGATTATGTTATCCTTCTACGTTTTAGTATTTTTCATTATCATTATCATGCTCTAGAATTTTATAAGAGAAATTTTTATCAAAATACTTAAATTTGCAACTTTCAATGGAACGTTTTAAAAGAATCTTTTTAATTCTATAGGATACATCTATTTGTTTATTTTGCTTGCAATTTATAGCTCGGGTAATATTTATATTTTTGCAAAGATAAAGAAGTGTTTCGAAGAGAACATTATGGCTACTTCCAGTAATATCTTATTGTGATATGAGTACTTACTTCCGCAAGGTACGCAGTGCTTCCGGCGGAAGCCAGTGCCCCCAGGCTTTAGTTACTTCTTCATGAAGCCATTGAATAGAAAATCTGCCTTTTACTTCCGGTTGTGGGAAACTAGAAGAGGATGAAATGCAAAACATAGCACTTAAATTTGTGTTTATAACACACTAATTCAAACAGCAATTCATATAAGACTTTTAATAAACTTATTGTTAATTTTACTAAACATTCATTAGGTAATATATGACATGTTATTATATGATTGCAACTTTATTCTGAAGTAATATTTCTTTTTACATAAAAGTGTAATATTTTCATACAAGTATTTTTTTTCAAAAGAATTAGTTTCAATCATAATTTTAAAAAAGAGATTCATATATGAGGGATAGAATATTAAGGATTTGAGGAACAGAATATGAGGAATTGGGAAATAATATCGCAACAAGTAAAACTGAGACGGAATAAAACTCAACAGAAAACCACTATTGCTTTCTTCAGAATGTTAAACTATTGAAAGTACTTCAGCGATAGCAGATCAGCATGAAACAGTACTGTGTCATGAATTGTGCATATATGTAAATAATTTTAGTGAACATTTATGTAAAAAACATGAAATGCTTGAAATAGAAGAAGTTCTTCCAGAACAATAGGATTACAGGAGCGAGGTCTATTTAACACTGAAGATAAACGGCTGTCTCACTAACTTGGCGAGGTATGGCCAAACAAAATCGCCAAAAAAATCAGAAGATCAGTTAACTTAGTCAAGATTGCAAAAATGTTTTAAATGATGCAAATATTTATGTTCTGACATTTTTTAAATTGAAGAAACCGGTTTTCTAAGAGTTACGAAATTTAACGTTTTCAGTTCTTATATTTAGGAAAATAATGTGCTTTAAATAAAAGATAAAACACAAAAAGTTTGACGTACGATAAAATGTGACTCAAATACTCGAAATTAAAATCGAGAATCATATTCAGAGGCCGTGCAGAAACTGAAGAGAAAAATGTTTGCATTTGTATGTAATTATAAATAAAATCTCGTTTACGAAAATATTTTTGACGTTACGAGATTACGTAAAGCGCAGATCTATGCAGATTATTGTAAAAAATATTGATTAACATTCTTTTCTAAGATGTAGAATTTATTCACAGAATATTAGAGAAATCGAACTTTTCTGTAAAATATCGCATACTTCAGCAATGGTGCGTGTATAGACAGCTCAAAAGATATGAATTTTTGTACCAATATTAGACAGGAGTATAATAAAACTTCACAAGACTATTAATAACGTATTTTTTAGATTTTTGAAACTTACAAATTACTTATGTGAATATCCATTCGGTATCTCAAGTGTAGCAAAATTATTAATTAAAGACGTTGATAAATCACAAAAGAATGTCATTTAAGGGCATTTAAGAGCAAAAAAACCAAACTCGAATAATTCTAATATATTTATTAACTGCTCATCAATGCATATTGAGAAATGACATCAGAAATGGCTAATTTTAAAATTAATTATCTCGGTCAAATTTGGTCTTTTGGAATCAAACTTTTTGTATTTTATTTTTTATAATGAGTATAACATTTTTCTATATAGAAAGATAAAAAACAGAGGAACGTGTAAAACGTTAGATGCCGTGTTTCATACAAAATTTAATTAATTAAATTTAAAAACACAAAAATATTATCTTTGTGTCACTTAACATATTTTTGTAAGTATAAGTATGTGTCTACGACCAATGTTTGTAAAAATAAAGACATTTTTGGGCACGGTGTATACATAAAAGCATTTAATTTACTTGTGTACTAAATTTTATTAAATTTTTTGATTTCAAAACTATTACTGTCACTGCCATATAACTAATATAATGCCAACAGAAAGGCTAATTCATTCAGAAAGTGTTTTCGAAGATCTAAAATTGAACACAAATGCAAAACTTTGTAAACTATACCTTAACTGTAATTAAGCAGTAATAATAGATTGCCCGTACCGAATGCAAACTCAATCCAAAGCTGATTTGTCATAAAGTAATTTAAATTTCAAGGAAAACTTCATATATAATAATTAAGAGTGTCAAATATATGATGAAGTATTTACGCATGAAGGTATAATTACTGTCACGATAAAATTCCGTTAAGTCAGATTTAAATGAAGTCTTCCACTATTATTTGCTTTAAGACAGCTTTGCTGAACTTAATATTTCTTACAATGTATGTAAGCAAAGAAATCAATAAAACATTTGCTGACATTATAATATAATTTAAAACACAAATTAATCACTACTATATTATTAATTATATTTCATCTTACCTATTAATTCGCGCGCTTTCATGATTTCCAAGAGCTGGGTAAACAGGTATTCCCGGCAGATGGCGCTGAAGGATTCGTGATACGTAATGCAGTAATCGAACTTGCTCCGGTCGGGTTGTGTTCCAGACATCGTGTGGTGGAATATCACCTGTCCATAGTACGTAATCAATCTGGCCAGAGGAGAAAGAGGATTACTTCAGATTACTATCTTCCATACTTGACATCGAAGCATGAATAATCTGATTATCGTAATTCGTTTTGTATGAATTTCGATATGAAATCTTAGGTGGAACAAAGACCATTGATTTTCAAAGTACATGTAATTAGACTAAATTCATGTTTTTAATATTATTATTAATAAAATATTCTTATGTTATATGTGAAATAAGTATAGCATATGTTTTGTGAAATAATATATTTCTCTTTTTGAAAGCACAGAAACTGATAGATTCTTGTCTTGTGAAGTAAAAAAAAAAAAATAAAATAAAGATCAAAATGCAAATTTTTAGAATTATTAATTAGCATTATTAACCGCAATTATTTCTTCAGTGTGAAAAAAAAATTATTAAAAGTTTCATTTTTATTAGCACCAACGGGCAATTTGCCCAGAAGGACTAATAATCTCGTTTTCGCATTTTGCGTTGATTCACTAAAAGCGTTGTTTTACTTTTCAGTTTGTTGCCACCCAATATTATCGCCCAGTATTATATTTAAAGAAGTTAAATAACGAAAAATCTGCATAAATGTATCTATGTTTCTCGCATTGTGGTAAAACAACGCGAACTAGAGTCGTCCAATTTTGAAAAACGTAATCATCTTGCGAATATGGGCACCTGGAAGCCCAAATTTGAAATTTGGAATTTGTTTTATAATAGATCTCATATTTTGTAAAACTTTAACGAATTTTTGATTAACAAACTCAAGGATTACAAAGCGAACAATGGCAATACTGTACGGGGAAAAAAAATTATCTCCAGCGCCACGAGACTGTGTGTCGGAAATTCTAAAGAAACATCTTTAAATTCTTTTGCGATACTGCTCTTGAAGTACATTTTATGGTTTAAGTGATAACATCCTTTTAATAAAAATTATTATATTTAATAAAAATAACATAATATTTAATAAACAAAGGTAAAACACAAAATGTTAAAAAATGCCCCTTTGGACGTAATTTAAAATCTGAAACATTTCATTTTTTTTATTTACTTTTTTTTCTAGTGCTACAACTTACTCGTAAAGCCCCGTGGTATACTTTGTCGAATATGAGAAGATGGAGCTAAAGATTTTAAAAATATAAGATGATTTACTGCGACTATAATGCCACTCAACCGCGGTAGTGATTAGTGATTGTGACTGCCGTACCGAATAGTCCAGGTTCGATTCCCGGATAAGGCATGGATGTAATTTGCCCGTCTCCTCATAGGAAACATCGGTGATCCATCTATTAGGTGCCTCCATAATAAAATGACCACCGTTTTCGGCTTTCGTAATGGCCAACGTCTATAGACGGATTGGACAAGCATTGGAAAAAAAAAAAAAAAACACAAAAGCACCAGTTTGACTTCTGTGAATTATAGTTTTATCGGAGACTGTTATTTGTAACATTTCCATGTTGCGCATTTCCTGTTTATATGGCTCACGGTATACTTATTTTTATTGCATAATTTTATTGTTTTTGGTATGTCTTTATTTTTGTTGTCATTTGAATTCTATTTTTATAAGTGAGTAAAGTTTACATAATTCATATTCATTCATTAAAATTGTATAATTCGCAAATTGTATGCGAGACTGTAATTTGTAAAAATCATTGTATGTAACTTCTGCTTAACGATAGGATATGTATACGGTATATCAAAGTTATTTATGCAACTTAATGTATTTTCCTATTTTTATTATTTTAAATAAATTCCTTGTGGCCCCCGGGCTGCAGAGCGCGGTAAGGAGATGCATCCGAGAGAAATAATACCCACGTCCTCCATCAAAAAGATTTTTTTTTTTTAATCTGAAAGCTTTTAGATTTTTCCTTACGCCCCCAAAAGGGCGTTTTTTTTTTTTTTTTTTTTTTTTTTTTTTTTATTTATATATATATATATATATATAAATGTTTGTGTCTTACCTTTATTTTTCAAACATCATGTTCTTCGCACTTAAAACATAAAATTCAATTCAAAGGCAATATCGCAAAATAATTTTTAAATGAGCATATCTTTAGATTTTCTGATACACAGTCTCGGGTGGGCGGGAGATAAAAATGTTCTTCCCCCGTACAGTGTTGCCATTACTCGCTTTTAAATCGTTCAGTTTGTTAATGAGAAATTCGTTGAAGTGTTACAAAATATGAAATCGGTAATAAAACAAATTCCAAATTAGGGCTTCCAGATGCCCATATTCCCTGGAGGATTACTTTATTCAAAATTTGATGGCTCTAGCTACCGTCATAATGCGAAAAACATACATACAATCATGCAGATTTTTCATAATTTAATTTCCTTATATATAACACAGATATTTAACACAGGTAATATAACATAGATATGATACAGGTAATATACATAGATATGATACAGGTAATATAACATAGATGTAACACTAATATAACATATTTGGTGGCAACAATTTGAAAAGTGAACCGACATTTATAGTGAATCAACGCAAAATGCCAAAACGAAATTTGGGCTAAAAAAAACAGGGATAAATAGAAGGGCTAGGTCATTCCTTTGTTCGACTCCTCGCCGACGCGAGCCTCCTAAAGGGGGTTAACTGGAAGTAATCTGACGTGTCTGTGCTGCAACTGCTCTGATTTCGTGCGTTTAAAACTGTAGTTTCATTCAGTTGCGAGACGATTTTCTGGAGGTCGCATATCCCAAATTAATTTTAATCATACATATTTGTTTTCTAATAACGCAAATATTTAATATAATTTGTGTATATATATATAGTTTTAGTCAGCTGTCCTTTTAAATTCTATATTTAAAGTATCCTTTACGTAATATGGCTTCTTGCGTTGTAGAAACGTGCCGTAACACTTATAGAAATACGAAAGAAAAAGAGATTGTATTTCATGCTTTCCCAAAGGACAATTTGCTTTTGTCGAAAGAATGGATACATAAATGTCGAAGACAGGATTCTATTAATGTGAAAACACAAGAATTTGCGGCGAACATTTTCTGTGCGGAGATTATGAAGATGACATGAGAAATCGCTTACTTGGATTGCCGCAAAAGAAACTGTTGAAATGCAATCTGTGCCGAAAGTAAATTTATCGTGTGCAGTAAACGAAATAACACCAAGAAATCGAAGACTTTTGAAAGAAAACTAATGGAGAGTGCCTTTGAAAGACTACAGGAATTAAGCCCAAAGAAAATTTATTTTGAGGCCGAGAACAAAATTGAAGCTGACAATAATAAATCAAATGTGAATGATTTTGAAATAAAACTCACAAGTGACAATATCCCTGATTGCCCCAAGTGTAAAGATAAACAAGAATGTATTGATAATTTGAATGACAAAATAATATCCTTAGAAAATTGTAATAAAATATTGAAAAATAGAGAAAAGAAAAATTTTAGAATGTTTGCTCAGCGACAAAGAAGGTGAAGGATATCTAGAAAGAAATTTGTATCGGAAATTCAGAAATTAAAATCCCAAACAGAAATTTAGAAAAAAACAGCACAGAGTTTGTAAAAACATCTAAAGCATATTTTTACAACGCAGATTACCGCGTTGCTAGAAAAGAAAGAAAAAAATCAGGTGGACTAGTGAAGATATTTCACGTTGCATTGTCATAAGAGCTCTGTAGAATACGTCTCTTGAATAGAAATGCATATACTATGTTTTTTTCCCAAAGCAAAGCAACCCAAAAGGCAAAAAAGTGGATTGCTTCAAATGTGGTAGCCAATAACTAATATTTCAACAACTTTGTGACTGTACAAGTAAGCATATATAATATGTTTTGATTTGAAATATTTCTAGATGGCATTTTAGAAGTTAATAGCGTAAAGCATATTTCAAATAAGAACTAATTTTGTTAAGTTATTGTTAAAGATATTTTTATTGTATCCTGTGTTATTATTGATTCAATTTTGTGCTAGGTTAGCGTTCTAGATAAAATATAATAGTATAACATTAAAGTAATTGGCATAAGAAAACCTGTCTCCTTAACCCCATTTTTGAAAAATTAAATAATATTTTTAGGTACTGTGAGTAAAGTTGTTTTGTCTAAATTAAGATAACAATCTTACATGCATTTATTTAAATGTAATATTGATGTAAGCCTAAGTTACAAAATTATTAAAAAAATATATTTTATTATATTGAATGGGGAGAAAAATATGCCAATGTAAAATTTACAATTAGGCTGAAACTCAAACTTAGATTAGCAGAAATTTTGGAAACTATGCCAATTTCAGGTTGTTTTTTGATTAATTTTAAATAGCTGTTATTATAGTTATCTTAGAAACAGTAGTACAGTTCTCTTAGTTAGCATTCAGATAAAGAAATGATTAGAAATAAACAGGCATTTAAAGAAAAAAATCCCTGCAAATTAAAAAAAGGAACTTTATGCTAAGAGTAGCGCATTTTCTGTTATTTTAAAATTGAGTAAGTACTATTAAATTTTTTAATTTTCAGTGTAAAGTGCATACTGCAGTAGCATTGTCTCTTCTAAATTATAGCTATCTTTCACAAACAGCTCATTTTAAACGCTGGTTCTTCAGATTTAAAACGCTAATTTCTATGTTGCCAGTTGCATCTCCGCGCTCAGTGTCATCATGGCTACGTCATCACTCCCCACTGCCTGTTTCAGGGGGAAAAGCTCTATGAGCTAGCCCTTCTCTTTTAAATCCTGAAAAAAAAAGCCATCAACTCCAAAAATTTGGAGCCGAGTCTGCTGGTAATCAAATAAAAACATCAGAAGTAGCAAGTCAATGAAAGCAGAATTCTTCGTTAGAGGATGCTTCTATGCTTAAAATGCAAACGTTCTGTGTAATTATTATTCCTAGAAACTAAATAACTGCACAGAGTTAAGTTAAACGCATTTATTCAAAAACTTACTTTATGGCGAGAAGTAATGTGCCGTAACATATGCTCCAGTGTGCGCAAAGGTGTGTCGCAGTTTCTGTAGTCTCCCCATTTTCCAGCTGCTTGCGCTGGAGTTGGTGCTGGACCATCGGCTATGCGACAACACATCAGTTCTTTGCAGTCAGCATTAGATCCTTCCAGGTAATAGGGATCTAAATGAGTGTCGGATAAATGGAGAACTCGATAGACGGGTGCTCCAGCCTGGTAAAAGTCACAAAATTTAGCATTCCATCTTATATTGGAAGAATAAATTTAAGATTTAAGAGATGCCATAAAATGTGCATAGTATTAAGAAAACATAGAAATTTGATAACTTCAAACTTTTAATATTAAGTATTAAAAATTTATAATTATTATCAGGTCATCCAAAACCCTATGCGATATTTTGATGATAAATACAAATGAAGAATTGCAAGTTATATAATTCATAATTGCATAAAAAAACATTAAAAAAATTCATTGAATCACACAAGCACCATTTTGTTCTACGGCTTTTTATCTTCTTTACGAAAACTGGAAAATTCCTTTTTAAAAAAATCATTGAGTTTATTCTTAAACAAGTTACCTGACATGCTCTCTGACAGTCTCCAAAGAAACGAACTTCAGTGCATTCATAGAATTTTGAAGTGACCTGAGAAGAGAAAAATTCGAGAGGGCAAGTTCTGATGCATATAACAGGGGACTGATTCTAGCCATAGTCAATAAGTCTGTTATCGAACATTCATCAACGAACATAAAGCATTCGTCGAAATGCTAAGCCAATCATTTATTCTGATAACAGACAACACCTTGTAGATTAGTCTTTAATGTTTTTCCGAAATTATTGTCTGATAATATACAATTCTTGTAATGATACTGTACAGAGTCTTAATATACACAAATCATTTTTCTTTCAGATGCAGCCCGCCCTCCTCTTGATTTAAGAAAGGAAATTCTTTCAGCTTACCTCATGATCTTTGATCTTTTTTTGTAACATTTTCATCTCCAGTAACAGGCAGTTTCAAAGAAAGGAGTTTCTTTATTTCTTTTCAGCAAAGAATCATTTGCTAAAATTTGAGTAAGCATATTCTGGTGTGCTAAAGTAACAGAACACCACATATCATAGCGGCTTATATAACACAGTCTTTTTCAAAGTATCATATACTATTTCTTTTGGAATATTTAGTCTCATAGTTCCTAAACTGAAACACGTAGATTTTCAGCTACAGTTTCTTTTATTATGTCATTATTTACAGATGATGGTCATCCGGAGTATGCTTCATCTTCCGGACTGGAATTTCCGCTCTCAGATTTCTCAAACCACCTTCGAAATAAATTATCAAAAACAATCCTTTGTTCATATGCACGCAGTTTTACAAGCATTTTAAGTAGTATTTTTGTTTTCACTTTTAAAGTAAATAAATATAATGTGACAAAAATTATCTTTCTTGTTCTTTATTCTTTGTTCTGTGCTGAAGCAAAAATTATGCTACAACACAAGCTAAAATTATGCAATGTGAAAAGAAAGACCGTAGTTAAGCATCTGCTTCGGTTACGTCATCCCTTATCATCGATAACAAAATACACTGCCCTTCAAAAGTACAGGAATAGCACACTTTTTGGGTCTAATTTGAGAATGAAGCAACATAGAAACCAGAAATTTAGAGAACTTGTTCACTAAACAGTTCTTTAATGAATGCGACATAGAATGTTTCTAAAGTTCAGCACAAACATCAATTGCAACAAAACATTGCACTCTTGGCATCGAAAGCCAGTTTTGGAGAAACAGTATATCACAGTTTTTTGAGGAAAAAGGGGTTGCAACATTACAAAAATGGGTTCTAATAAGGAATGTGTTCACATCTTAGCTGCAATACATTGGTGGCAGCGACGTCCCATGCTGTCAGTTAAGTTGTCGGTCAATGAAATGGAAAGCAACGACCAGACACGGAGTAGTCCTTGTTCAAGCTCATCGAAAGACCTTGGAGGAGAACTTAAAGCAGCAACCTGTCTTCCAAAGTAGTCCCAAAGATTCTCTATCTGATTCAGGTCTAGGAATCGAGCTTCCCATTCCATACACTCCATACAGTGACCCTCAATATATTCTTCAGCAACCCGAGCTCGGTGCAATCGCGCATTGTCGTCCATCAGAAAGAATCCAGGACCAATAACAGCGGCATATGGGACAACATACTGATCAAGGATCTCATCTCAATATTTCTCACCGGTCAAAGTTCCCCCGTGGCACAAATGCAGGTCAGTGTGACCACCGAGAGAGATACCAGCCCAAACCATTATTCCACCACTTCTGTAACTGCATCTTTCCACAATGTGGAATTGATTGTATCTGGTGCGTTATTCCCTCCAGATCAGCTGAATCACTCTCCAGTGTGAACCTGGACTCGTCTGGGAAGAGAACAGACGACCATTGTTGAATGTTCCAGGAGACGTAATCACTTGCCCAACGGGCAACGCTGAATCCTCGGGTCAAGGGCACACAAACAACTGGTCGCCTTGCATATAGATCTGTGCAGATCTGATCTTTTTGTGCAGGCGTTTGTGCACTGTAGTAGCTGAGATTCTTGTTCCTGTTGCTACTAAATGATCTGCTATGAGCTGAGGCACAGTAATGTTACTCCTCTTTCGGGCCTTTAAAGAGCTAATTAACGGGCTTCTGCAGGGTGTTGTAAATCTAGATCTGCCTGGAACATGTCTTCTAGACATAGAATAACCTCGGATTCAAACTGATTCCCTAGGACGAGTAACTAACCACACTACGAGAGACATTGAGACGTCTAGCAGCATCAGCTTATGACATACCCATTTCTATCCACCCGATCGCCAGCCACCTCAACGAGTCGGGCAAACGACTTCTCCTGGACATTGATAGACTCTCCTGGATATTGTCAACGAAATTACTAATAACAATTGAATTCGTTACTATCATGCATATAAACTGTGAATTTAAATGTTACTAATATTTTTGTAATGGTGAGTTTTGTAAACCATGCTGTTCTTAACTTTTGAAGGGCAGTATAAATTAGAAGAAAACACGCTTCGATTTGAAAAACTGTAGAAATTTTAGGATAAACTAATGTAAACAGGTTTTCGTAAATACATAATTTATGGCATAAATATGCGATTTTGCTCGTTAAGAATTTTTAAGAAATCATTTATATTCTGAAATTAATCCACTGAAGCCTATTTGCGGAATAAATTATTACAATGGTTACAGTTGTATGGAATATTGGTTTCATTTATAATTTAAATTATTGTTCCTTAAAGTACACTTTAGCACACTCAGTAACTCACTTCATTTTCATATTTTTTATCAAAACTAGTGCAATAATTTTAACTGAAATCTTTAAAGTACAATGAAAGTTGTTTTTAAGCTGTTATTTCTGAAATTTATTGAAAGCAAAAAGATATGAACAATAGAAACCGAAAGTAAATTCAAGTTCTTTTTCTTTGAAATAAAAAAAGGTATTGTAAAGTTGCACTTTATTTCCATTATAAAAAAAGGGATTTCATACGAAAATGTATTAAAAAGGCTAATAGGTTATTTTCTCCCTCCTTTCCGCATGCCTTCGTGGTGTAACTGGAAGAAGCATGCTTGACGTATATTCAGGAGGTTCGGAGTTCGAATCCCAACGAACGCATTGCCTATTTTTCACGTCTCCAACATAAAAAAACTAATAACTCTACTATTAGCGCCAGAACTAAAAGGTGGTGGACGATAATTCGTCACCACCAGGATTTGGCGAAAGATTTTTCTCATCCCCAATTGTCTTTTAAAAAGTGGACTATTTCCTCCTTCCTTTCTTCGTGGTACAACTGAAAGCATACGTGAAGCGTATTCGAGAGGTCCAGGGTTCGAGTCCTGCCGAGGGCTCGTAGAAGAAAGCTTAAGATATTGCTACCCGGCAGAATATGAGCAAGTTTTCCCTGTTAAGAAATCCTGATCTCGGTAACAATTATATTTTTAGCATCAACTAATAAATTAAACTTCATTAGAAAACTAATGTCTGTGATGCGTAGACTAACTTTGGCGATTTCCTATTTCGGATTTAAACTTAACAAATCAAAAAAAGTATTGCGTTATCTTTTACATCAGAAAATGATTTATTTTTCTTCAAACATATGAGATTGTTTCAGAAAGCCTTAGCTTTTTGTAAACATACATAATAAATTTACTGGAGTTAGTTTTAAGGGAAATAAATTTTTAAATAAATACTTGCGCCATTTAGAACATTTTTATAATTCGAAATACACTCAAACCCCGCCATAAAGAAAGCAGCTTATAACAAATCCCCAGATGTAACGAAAGAAATCATTTGGTCAGCCCAGTTTTCTATAAACTAAATGCCATTTTATACGGCTACAGCGAACTTCCAGTATTCGCTATACAGTATATGAAATCGTATATAACGAATTATATGGATATCTTTAATGGAATTTTTTTATATTTTCCCAGAATTTCTGCAAATTGTAATGAAATAATTAATAACTCGTACAATATTCCACGTTTAGGATGTCAGGATCTACATCCCAAATTATATCCTTAAAGGACAACGCCTTTACATTGCTTTCCTTTTATGTTTCTGTATTCTGAACAAAGGCTATACGAAGTAGGTGTGACATCCAATCTTTTTTTACGAGAAAGAGGACATGATTTGGTTCTTTGATTCCATTCAAATCCTTTGAGTGAGTAGCCAGATAGGGACTGATACTATTCAAGGCTCATACTATGATGAACATTTTGAAATTTTAGCTGTTCGTGGAAAGAGGAAACAGTGGATCTTAAAATTTAGGAGTTTATCCATGTTTTTTTCCCTATTATTTCAGTATAAATGCTATCTACATTCTATCTTTCGAATGGGGTTTTCATTCTTTAGGTCTTTTGAAAAAAATAGGATATTCTTTACAAAAGTTATTGAATCGTTCCTTTGAAACCATACATTATATTAAGCAAATCCCCCGAAGTTCTATATCGTACTGGCTCGGATCTGTAACTTGGCAGTTTCAGCACCACGAGATAAAAACACAAGCCAACCGGGATTCGAGCCGGGACAAGAATCCAAGAGAAGATCGTCTGTACGTTCGGACAGTGAGGGATCGACATAAGTCCTAGAAACCACGGTGTTAATAGCTCAGGTGATCTTCGAGTATTCTGGGTAATATCCTAGGCGACAGGCAATCCACGTAGTATTAGTGGGAAGCATTTAGACGAAAAGTCAGGCTCCCAGGTTAACACGGCGTTTGCAGTTTGCCTGTCCCCTTGGTGGTAAGAGATCGGTTTACTTCGAACTAAGTGACCACTTCGACCCGCCTGGCTAAAAAGAAACCTTATGATCACGCTGAAGTGACATCATTCATGGTGGTGTCCGTTACCCGTGCTTTGTTAGGTTGTCTGTGTCTTGGTTCGGCCTCAGGGGTTTTATGAGAGATTTCATATTTCAAAAAGTCGTCTGCTGCGTGGTATTGAGCCCCCCGTAGGGTAGCAAGGTGAGTTGTATTATTTCCCTTGTAAGAGGTTTGCTATAGATAATGACTGGGGCTCCTATGTCAGACGGAAGCTGTTCACAGGTTATCGCCTTATGAGTTTCACTGATATTTTAAGTAAACGTTAAAGATAAATTTCGCTAGGTTTTTTTTTTTTTTTTTTTTTTTTTTTTTTTTTTTTTTTTTTTTCCATACATGTAAAATTATTGTTTTTATATTTTGCGGGATAATCCACTTTTCTTATCGAACCACCGGATACAGCGAACCAAACTTCTGGTCTCTTGAAGTTTGTTATAACCGAGTTCGACTCATATACTGAGACCCAACAGTTGTAAGAATAAAGGCCGGGTAAGGACTTAAGGACTTTTATGGATACTGTTATTATTCATAACATAAACATTATTTCAAATTGTTTTAAAAACTAAATGTTGCTTTATTTCATTAGCATTTGTTACAATTGCCTTGCTAATGTTGAAATATAGCTGAATGAATACCTTCGGCTCTTTGATTTCTTCTGGGGGAGGTTTGGGAAAGGGAGTGAGAGGCACAGTCCAGTTATGTAGTGGAGAAGTAATTCTGGCGCAGTCATTACCTAGAAGAACTCCACATACTTCCTGAGGCCCTAGAGTAGTTCTTTGGAAGACGTACATAATTTCATCCTGTAAGTATTAGAAAAAAACACAAGATTAATTCTCATTTGTTAATACATTAATGCTTTCACAAGTTTAACGTCACAGAAAGATTAGTTTAAAGTATTATTTTAAACAGTAAATTTTTAATTTTGATCTTTTTTGGAGAATTTCGACATTTTGTCAATCAGTAACACAAATTTTAAATACTTCACCTCTTTTTTTTTCCTAATCTAATTATTAAATTTCACTCATTTATAATGTACAGTCATTGCGCTTAATTGATCCACTGGTTGACTGGAGCAGGCACTTTTGGGGTTAAAAATCTCAGACAACACAAAATAGGCTATAAAGAATTTTCTTCCTTGTTACCGCTTGCCTTCGTGGTGTAATTGGAAGTACGCCCGGCTAGAAGTCGGGAGGTCCGGGATGCGAATCTCTGTGAAGGCATTACTCATTTTTCATGTTTCCTGTTCCGATAAATATCTAATGGTTTTGCAAATGGTGCCCGAATTAAAATCTGGTGGATTCGTATTCCGTCATCTCTGGATTCCGCATCTGGCCCTACTTTGCCCTAGTTGAGCTTCAAGTGGGTAGAATGCAAGGTACTTTTTTTCCTTAACTCGTGCTTCATGATGTAATTGGAAGCACATACGACTGGCAATCGGGAGCTTCAGAATGCTAATCCTGGCGAGAAGGCTCATCATTTTTCATCTTTCTTGCTGTAATAAACCTAATAGATTCCGCGTATGTATTATATTTTAAATTCTGGGAAGGTTATTGTGTAGGTATTACGTTTGATATTCTTGCTCATTTCTCACGTTTGTTTCTCCAAAGATACTTATGACTACAAAGCTACCAAACTAATGCATAATTTAAATATTTAACAGGATAAGCAGCAAAAATGGAATTTAGCAATTTTGGATATAATTTAAAGATTTTCCAAAATATGTTAAAGCTACGTAAATTAATATTTGTCAACACTGGAGTGATGTGAAACAGTTTTCTATGGTCATGCATCTGGCTTAAGAGGCTACTGTTACTGCTTACCACGTCTAGAGAGGCATTCATTTATTGAGGCTATTTTATTTAAACGTTTTAAACCTTTGCGAAGATTCCAAGAATGATTTTACACTTTCAAGTAAAACTGCTCTCCTTAAAGCTATTTTTCAAGTCAAAATTTTGACGAAAAAATGCTGTGATGAAGATAACGACCTACCTATGCTTATCACTAATCATGGGAAAAACATATAATCGGATTACAGCATTATTTTATGCAGGAAAACAATAAAGGAAGCTTTTCATTTGTATTAAATATATATGCTTAGTTTCGTAGTACTGCTAAATTTCAGAAGCGAAAGATACACTACACTCGATGCATATTTGCAGAATTGAATATTCCAATTTCTTTCCAACAGCTGATTGTGAACAATTACAAATGTAACCCAGTCCATTAATCTATACAAGGCCGGATGTGGCGGTCTCTTTATTATGGAGGCACCTAATAGGTGGGCCACCATCGCCTTTCCTATGAAGGGACGCACAGTTACAACCATGCCTTCTCTCCATCGCAGTCAGCTTCTCTGACCACTATACCAACTATGAGGCAAATAGTACAAATTTAGAATTTGTAATATTCATCAAGCATGTGTCACTTGCCCTGTACAATTTACAGAACAAATATATTTTGTATTTTGGTTTAATAAAGTATTATAATAAGTAACTAATTGTTATTTTTTATCTATTTCTTCATTCAATCACGTATTACATAATTTATATTAGAATTTGTTATTAGTTCGTTTAACTGAGGCATCTGCTTAATTGGGCCTAAATGAATTATTCTAACGTGTCCAATTAAGCAAAATTAGCTGTAATCCGAAAATTTAACTGTTGAAAAACATCTTCCGGAAAACAAGATATATTTTTACTGCAAAAACGTTTCCCTTTTTGAAGAATAATTATCATCAAAGTTTTCATTCCTTTCGAGCAAAGAACGAATATATATAGTATATGTAGTGTTAAATAGTATATTTAATATTTAGAAATTGAGATCCATACTTACACAATAAGGTTCATCTGTCTGAAAGACTTGTTTTAGAAATGTACTTGCTGGTTTGCTTAACTATAATTAGCAGTATTTATTTATGGTTCCTTAATGATCTCTCTGATAATTCCGAAAGAATGGGCGCTTTAGGCCTCAGGCGACTGCCAAAAAATGGCATTTTTAGGGGTTCTGTATAAAAATTTTAATCTTGTATATCTTTATGAAAACTGGCACATGATCATAACTGTAGTATACTAAAATCCTTCCTAAAATGAGCATAGAATTGAAAATATGATTTAATACCAATTTTGTAAACGATATTTAACTGTGAAATCTTTCTGAAATACTCTGCAAGTAAACGCAGATCGTAAATATATATATAGCCAAATACGGCTCTTATTTTGTACAGTTCAGTTTATCATCCTATTTTCCTATTCTGTGTTAAAAAATATATTAAAGGATAAAGCGCATGATATTCAAAAATTGTTATAGCTTTCTTAAATTTCCTAAATGAAAAAATAAATCTAATTTGCTCTTTTAAATATTTATGCCATACTCTGGACATTATCAAAACCCAATTTTCATATTATAATTAGAATTAAATTCAACTTCTCAGTTAGAATCTTGCATTGGGAAAGAAGATAATTTCAGTTTGAATAACCTTTTCGGTGTTGGACCTCTCATAATTAATATTCATGTAAACGAAATTCTTCTATCGAATTTCTTTATTTCGAATCATATATTTTAAAAAAGACCAATATTCATCTTCTCTTTTTTATTTATTTATTTTTAGATTAGAACTTAAATGGATTTTACTATTCATTTACCTAAGACATATCTTTACGTAAGGTAAATTTAGAAATTAATTTTATCATGTAATAAATTACTAAAATAAAGTTAACTAAAATTTTAATGCTTTAAAATTCCTTCAAACATTTATTCTCAGTTTTATCTCGTACAGTGGATTTTCTTTTAGATAAATCCCTAAAATGATTTTAAAATATTTACTATCAATCTCTATTTTATCATCGATTATTTCATTTAATTCCAAATGTTCCTGGTAGATGGCGTCACTTCTACTCTGTTTAAAGCATTAAAAATATATCTAATTGCAATTATTATTTCCTTCAAAAGCACCATTGCTAAGTAAAATAGTTTTAAAATATGCAATTATTCTTTATTAAGCTCAATTTTAGTTACGAGCTCACAAATGAAAATTATGCAAGTCACTTATTAACAATTCTTTTTCTATAAACAAACATTTTAAAACTTGTTTATTACACTAGATGGCAGCACTATGAATTGACGTTCATGACCAAAATGTTGCTCATAAATTATTAACCACTTCAAAAATGCGTCTAAGGAATACTTTTTAAATTATAAAATTAATCATTTCAAAGCAAGTTATTATTCTAAAAGATATTTATGATACAGTTATCTAAAAAATTTATCATGCGCTTCTTTTTCTGAGAGAAAATTATGCTCACCTTGAAGAGATTAATTATACCCGCACAAACCCTGTCGCTGTCTAATTTTAGAGTAGAGCATATGGTGTAGGCAATATGTGCGATTTCTTCTTGTGGTTTGTCTGTTTCCACAAAATGTTGGAGCAGAGCAATTCCGAATTTGCATACAAAACACATTGTCGGCGATGTCTTTCCGACTTTCAGTTCTGCCACCACCTACGAGAGAAGAGAAAATGTGCACAAACCTGTAAGCTTATTTCGAATAACATTAACACAATTTAATTACAAATTATTGGCAACATAAAATAATATGTAAAAGATGAATAAATTACACAAACAGCGCAATCTTTACAGCTCAGAGAAAATTAGGAATAATCATAATATATAATATTTTGAATAAACATAAATTGAGACTTTCTCATGATTACGTTCCTCGTTATTTAAAACAGCGAAACAGAATGGTTCTAGAAGTTAAAACTCTTGGATAACTTTTTTAAGAAACATGTTTACTTTTTGTATGTATTTTGTGATTGCCATGTTTCTGCGATACCTTTTTAATATGGCATCAAAAACATTTTCTTTCACTTCCAAATTTCCAGTTTGCACCTGCAAACGCTTTTGTTGTTAATGAAAATTGAAATAACAGAAGTTCTTCCTGCATTTATTTCTACAACCGTTCATAGGCTAGGCATATATACAAAAGCGTTTGAAATGACGCTGCCATTCATTCTTTGTCATTTTTAAATTTTAAAAAATATTAATTTTTAAAATGACGCTGCCATTCATTCTTTGACATTTTTAAATTTTTACAAAAATATTAATTTTATAAAATTTACTAAACATAATTTTTATATGTTCTCCCGTTCCCTACATTTATCTTTAAAAAAATTTATATTCATCGTATAAAAAAAACAAAGTATTTCATTCTTGTACGGGAGAAACAGACCCAGATATCTAATTTGAAATCTGAAGTTAAATTTTTGCAATTTACTAGAATTGCAACATTTATAATTTATAATTTAGTTAAAATTTAGAACGTCAAAAAATTTTGGCACAGGTAATTTATAAGTTTTCAAACACAAAATATATTATAAGTATTCTCATGAAATTTTACTATTTTAGAAGCATAATCTAACACTCATAAATAAAAAATCATTAAATTAGAAATACTTTTATCACCAGATGTGGTATTAGTCTCAATCCTCCCTTTTTTGTCCATATCACTTTTCAAATAAACGGACATTGCTACCAAACTTTATCATACATATTAATTTTAAAGCCATGTATTGTCATTCTTTGTTAATATTTTTTATTATTATTAAGGAGAACGCATCACTAGATTCAGGCTCCTAGTCTACAAGGCTGATTGCTATGCATGACGACGTACAATATTTAAACTTTTTTTTTTTTTTTTTTTTGTCTCACACTGCTTTTTTATGGTGAGGCTGGGAGAGGCCGAAGCGTAATCCCATACAAGAAGTCGAAGCATTTGGCAGTATCCTACTATGTAAGATTGTGTGAGATAAAGTCCTCGTAGTGGATGTAGTAGTGTGTCAATTTTTGTTTCCATTAGGCAAAACGGTACTGAAGTTAGTGCACCAACTGACTTAATTCATAGCTCTACTAAAAGTTCCAAATGTAAACAAATGCCCGACTCGTTAAGCCTAGCGCCACTTAAAATTTTAAATTGCTGAAACGATTGCATGCAGATTAACTAAAGGCATAAAACCCATAACCGGACAGATTAAAGGCGTAAAAAACGTAACCGGAACATAAGAAAAACTTAATTCAATCACATTTAAAGCAAAAAATGCACAGTTAACCAAAGTATCGGAATAAAAAGGCAGAACTCTGAGCTGGGTAGCACAGTGGGTGCATATATAAGGAAACTGTTTCGTTATAAGCCAATCGTTTTCTGAAAACGAGTTCATTGTTATGTTCATCCATAGCGAAGCCCTGCCAAAACATCGTTCAAAAACATAGTTCAAATGGATTCAAAAGCGGTCAAAATGGTATTTTCATTGAAATATGATACCCGAAACCCTTCGCAGTTACAATAATTTTTTTTACTTCGTGCAAGGAAGAAAAGTATTTTAAACTTTAAAATACTCAATTTAGTAAACACTGATATCTAATTTTTAAGAGTTAATTGATTCTTAAGTATTTCAATAAGTTTATTAACTTATTAGTCCAAAGGGGCTTTGTCCCTCAAGGACTATTGTTTTCGATTTGCGATCTTGCGTTGATTCACTATAAATGTCCGTTTCACTTTTCAAACTGTTGCCACCAAATGTTAGAGTAATGCATTGTATTTGAAGAAATTAAATAATGAAAAATCTGCATAAATGCATGTCTATTTCTCTCATTATGATAAAACAACCGTACATAGAGCCTTCGAATTTTGAATAATGTAATCCTCCTCCGAATTTGGGCATGTGGAAGACCAAATTTGAAATTTGGAATGTGTTTTATGATCGATTTCATATTTTGTAAAACTTTAACGAATTTTTGAGTAACAAACTCAGCGATTTAAAAGCGAGCAATGGCAACACTCGACTGGAGGAAAAAACTTTTCTATCTCCAGCGCGCGGAACTGTGTATCGGAAATTCAAAAGATAAGCTCCTTTTTAAAATTATTTTGCGACATTGAATTTAAGCCTCTAAGTATCGACATACTTAAAATAAAAATATAAATTAATAAAAAAAAGCTTGGAAAATTCCGGTGAAAGTCCTTTTTCTAAACATGGGTTACAATCCCCTCAAAATTATACTCGTTTCCTTAGAATATCGTCAAACACTGATTTATCTTTCATAAGCATAAAATCTCCGCTACAGAATCTAAACAAGGTCTTTATTGCCTCGTATTTCAGAAAGTCTGTTAACGGTGCTAAAATGCTTCTAAAGTTATGGCTCAGTTTATTATTTTTCAAAATCAATAAATCTTTCAAATATCGTTGCATTTAAAATTCACTGTCAGGGCAGCCAAAGGCAAAGCAATTCTTACTTTCATCCCCGTAATGTTTAATGTCGTATTACAGAAAAGACTTTTAAGTATACTTTAAGCTACTTTGTTAGTAACTTTAAATTAGTTTTCACAGAAAGCTTACCTGCATGTTTACAGTGAGATTAAAAATTATTAATTCTCTGAAATTAAAAATTTATAAATGTACTAAACATTCATTTTAATATAGAAAAAGTAATATTAAATCACCCTACAAAAACTGTAAAAAGTACATTAAAATAATTCATTTATTTTATTTATATTCCTAAGTACGAGCAGATGTTATTCTTTTACATTTTCTTAGTAATACTTAGAATTATGCAACTGTAATTATGAAAGTTACTTAGCATTATGCAACTTTCTTAAGTCGTAGAGTCACTAGGTTATTTTGAAGCAGAATGCCTGAAAAATGTGTAATGGTCTCGCCGGGACTCGAATCCTGCACTCTCAAATACGCGTCGAGTATGCATCCAATTACACCACGAAGGCATGCGGAAAGAAGAGAGAAAATACCTAACTCTTTACTGATACGTATTGTTACAAAAGAATGAAAGTGAAATTTGAGAAGATTTGGATTACAATATATCTGTTTCTTCGTCACGGTTTAGTGCTGCCAAGAATAGATTTTTCGTTTGCTATTTTATTTATAAGACTACGGAGTGAGCTTTACGTTGCAAAATTCGTTTTAATTTTTTTTTTCGTACAATTTTGAATGTTAAGTAATTTATTTCTTCTAGCTTTCAATTTCTATTTTCTAAACTAGTGCTTCTGAATCTCAAGGTCGCTTGCCTCTGAGGATTAGCTATTATCTTGCTTGAAAAACGCTTACATTCTACAATATGAAACTTAGAATCAGTACGCTAATTTACTTAAGTTTTGCTGAACTTTGAGCTTTATGTGACATCATATATTGTATACTGGCACGTAAAAATTAAAGGAGAAACTAAAAAAAAAATTCATGTAACTTGACTAATTTTTCAGCTATGAAACTCGCAAAAGATTTTTATTTTGACATGCCTGGCATAACTTCAAAATGTGGAGGAACTGAACATAAATATGCAATATTTCTGCAAAACGTAAATGTAAATAAAAATGCAGGAAATGTATTGTAATGTGTCCTAAGGAAAAGTTGGGGGTTAGAACATTTTAAAAATATGTAGAAAACAATAATTAGATTCATGGTCATCCTTGACAGAAATGCAAGCTTTGCAGAGATTTTCCACGATGCGTATTTGATTGTGCAAAAATTCCCACGGTCATAAAATACATTCACGACAAATAGTGTCTTGACGTTCCTGAAGAGGACTAGATGGATGCTTCAGTCATGCAAGGCGGTGTCCTAGTACGTCTGACACATGCTCTGTCGGATTTAAATCTGGAGAATATTCAGGTCACTGCCTCCTCTGGATTCCTTTGTCACTAAAGAGCTACTGGCTAGGATCTGTACCTAGGCAATATCGACCACGGGAGTATAAAATCACGAGCCTGACGATTCCACGTGCCCGGTGGGAGATGCCTCGAGATAAAACTTCATTGGCCCGTTCGGTGGGTAGGCGAAAGCCAGGGTGGTACTGGTAGGTGCAATTGACGACCAGTCAAATCTCCAGGCGTGCATGTTCCCCGCCACTGTGAAACCTGGGAAACGGGAGTGGTAAAGCCACGAGCCCAGGATGTAGCAGTGGTCATAGAGAACTTTTATGTCTGCCGTCTCGGACTGGGGACCTGGGGCGCTAGCAGGATTAGAATACATTTATCCTTTTGGGCAACCCCCTGCCTAATATAGGGAAAACCCTCAGTTGAGACTGGTCCGTGTAGTGACGTTTACCAAATATTATTATTATTACTGCCCTCAACATAATCGGTGCTGCACATAAAAAGCGTGAACTTTGCTGTCCATTAGGAGGAATTTAAACCCTCGCCATAAGAATCTCGTTCTGCATATTTCAGCATTCATAGTTTCTATTGGTAAAAATATGTAGTTCTATTCATAGTTCTATTGGTGAATAAGTGCGGTCATTCAGAATGATACCCAACCATACCATGATTTCTTCACTTTTTTATAAATGCTTTAACGTATGTTTTCAAGCTGCGTGTGTTTTGCTATCGCCAGATTGTAACCTGGAATCGCTATTCGAACAAAAATGAATTTCATCTATGAACAGAATTCGGCTGAAGTTTATGAAAGAGCTACTGCGCCACTGTTTCTGGAAGCATT